AGCATACCTACAAAAAATTAGAGCCTTTTATTCAAAATTTCCGAAAATATATTTGAATTTATATATTGGCGCGTTTTGAAATTTGGCATATTTGTTGAAAGCGATAATAACATCTAATGTGGTTTACGATTTTTAAATTAATGAAAGTGACAAACAAAACGATGTAATTATTTTCTCTCTCATGCACAATGTAAAAACGGAAATGAAAATAGGTTGCCATAAATTAAGAAAGGAGTTCGCCAAGTGAATTATTCTTTGCGGAAACTGAAAAAACAATATGCCAAGAAAAATTTTTGAATTTTTCCGTAAATTTCGCCCCAAATTTTACAAAATTTTATATTTAGGCATAATTTGAGTTGTAGAATCGAAATATCGAAAAAGAATTGGCGTGTTATTTCAGAAAAAGTCCGATTTTGTGTCAAAATACCTATATTAGAACAAAATAATTATTTTTATTTTTATTTCTTTGCAATTTCTTAATTAAATTTTAATTTATCTTTGCTTCATACGAAGAAAGAATATTTGTTATATTAGAACAAAGCTATATATAAATCTAATATATATTCTAAGCGGATTTTCGAGATATGAAAAAAGCTATTTGAATTCCGTCAATCGGCCTAGTAGAAGAGATATAGAAATGTCCTCTCTTTTTTGCGCAGTGTGCAATAGTTGTTATAAACAAACAGCTGAATCACTGGCTTCAGAAGGGTCCACAGAATTGCATATTTGTAAAAACATTGTTCTGAGGAGCCTGCGAATTATTACTTTGTAATTAGAGAATGTTTTTCCAATTCTTCTTGTTTCTGATTCTTTCCAATTCTAAGTTAAGGTATTCGACCTCGTACAAAAGACGATTTTCGGACAAAATTTCGATTTTTACTTTATTACATTATCTTAAAGAATACATCTTTAGCTATCAAATACAAGTTTTTTGCTTGTTGATATGTTATTGAACTGAAGTTATAAGCATTTTTCTGTAACGGAATAACCGAAGTCCATATTCTGGACGGAAGTGAGCGTTTAAATGACATACTTATTTAGAAACTTTATTTATATTAAGATTTTTTAAATTATAAACATCGTATAGTTAGATATTGTAATACTTTTAAGAATTGGCGGTAGTTTTTTTCTTTAATTTCGATTAGGTTTGCGCAGAGGTATTCGACATGATGGAGGTGTTACTGACTTTGTCGATTAGCGTTTGCCAGTCTGATTTGAGGCTTTGTCACATTTTTTTGCATCAGTTGCAACAAACTAAACAAAATGGAATGCATTTCAGCACGAAAATTAGTTCAGATATAATAGCGTAACTAATTATTCTGCAAATTATAAGAAGCAGCTTCGCTATGGAGCATTGGTTAGTTTATTCGCTTTTTTTGATATATATAAATTACGAAAGCTGAAGTACACGGAGTATTATGAGGATGGAGATTCTAAGGGTTTTTAATTGTGCAAAATATTGGTAAAGATTGTCAAAACTGGAATGCATTGACATGTACAGCAAAGGGTAGTAGTGCCTACGAAAAAAAAAAACTCCGCCTGGAGGAAGGGAAAGTAAACTGCTGGTTCTTTATTGATAAACTACAGATTAGGGATTGCAATTAGCAGTAATGTTGGAAACTTAATTGAGATACGCAGGCTGTACTAGCTGCTTGTCATTGTCGCTCTTCTTTGAAGCAATTCCCTCCATCAACGGTGGGCCCACAGCGGCCGAGCGGTTAAAGTTCGCAGCACTGGTAGTCGGTCCGAGGTTCGAATTACGCGAACGGGGGCCCTGGCGGAATGGGCGGGGGGTGTTTCCCATGTGTAAGTGTACGAACCAGTTTCCTTAGAAACTCCTCCACGAAGGAATTTCCCTTAGGCAGATAGCCCGTTGTGCTTGGCCATATAATACACACCCACACCCGTCAACGAGTTGGCAATATCATTGCGATGCAGAAAAAAAAAAATAGCCCCAAAACCTCTGGTATATCAACATATATTTTGATTTAATTAAACCTACATATGTGGAGTTGACTACATAAACAAGAGTTATTAAAAAAGTGCATACATGGCAAAAACTCAAAATATCAAAGAACGTTTAATGGCTTTTATTGCAAATTGTTCCCGCGAACATTAATGTTTGGAGCAACATTAAATAACATAAATAACAAGTGTTTTTAATGTTATAATGATGGATTATAGTGTTTGAAGGCTTTTCAGGTTAGCTGGTTCCGAATTTACACTGAGCATGGAATTCTAAAATTGATAAGTGCAAAATATGACTCTTGGCGCCATTCCGCAAGTTTTACAAAAACCCAAAGAAAAAAATTACGCTTGTTCAAAGAAAAAGCGCAATGTTTGTGAATACAAACAAGGTGTCATTAAAAAGAAGGGGATTTAAATTATCAGGGATGCATTTTTCACTAAGAAATTGTTTTATGAAAACTTTAAACTTGTTTTCTGAAAATGTGTTTTCAGTAAATATTGCAAATGGAACAGCCATAACTCACAATTTATGAATAAAACTAAATGAACTTACTATGCATGTTCATATAATGATTTATGCTCTGAAGCAGAAGATTTTAGAAAATTAATTAGAAGTTGAATGGGTACTTTTTATTCTTAGATTGGATGCAATATAGGAAAATATGCAGTTAATACTATATATTTGACAATCTCAAGAACATATGAATATTTTCTTAATTTTTGCTCATTGCATACAAAATAAGTGTAAACTAAATAAAAATTAAAAAAACTGTATTTATGTATACATTGTCACCTGATTTGTGTGTAAGAAAATTTAAGCAAAAATTATCCTGTTTTCATTATTTTTCAAAATTGAATTACTAGCATAATTTAAGCTGTTTTCACATTAGTATGTTATCTTCAAATTAATAGGTTTCTAGTTAAAATAAAAACCATTTCTTAAAAAATGGTACCCGAACGAGGTCGGATACCTTAAGTTAACGGCGTTTTTCTGCACAATAATAAAACATTTAGCAGTATGATGAAAAAATTGAAATATCTCATTTGTGTAAAAAATACATATTATCATCATGCAGACACAGACTGTGCCTGGAATCTTAAATTTTTTCCGCTCACTGTTTATGGAAAATATTTTTAAAACGGAAAATTTTAACCGCTATAGCACAAACATTTTATTACTGAGTAAAAAATCTTTACAAATAAAGAAGAGTGTAAATAAGGAAGCGTGTTTTTCTTTTATATCAATTCCGATCTTGATGAAATTTGGCATACATGACTTCCAAAACAAGAGGAAGGTCACTGCCTGCATTTAGATTTCTCAAAAACTACCCCACTGGGATTTCCGCACTCTTTCTACACATATATGTTATGCTAATTTATTGAACTTTTGAGTGAAAATCCAGAAGATGAAAAGCTTTGTTCGCCACACTGCAAAGCGTTTCAGATTTAATCGGAAGACTCGGCAATATCAAAGAAGTCACTCAACTAATGCAACATACTTATTTTCGAATTTAATAAACAAATTTAACGATTTGAAAAGTGTTTCCACTGCCGAAATTAAACATTTTAAAGTCTATTACCGTTCAGTAAAGCGTAATATATTTAATGTTTTTCAAATTTAGCGCATTATTAATTAATGAACTAAGCGATATAAAAGCAAAAAATCAGATTCATTTTAGTTATTTCATTAATTATCAGCTGGAAGACTGAAACTACACTAGTTGAATTCATTTAAATCATCTATATCTCACTTTGCATATATAAAATAAAGAGTGCTTTTTTTTTTTTTTTTTTTTTTTTTTCGGTTTTTGCGGGTGTAATTCACACAAATCTAAAGTTTTATTCTTATCTTGACGAAAATTTGCCCATATGACTTTCAAAACAAGAGGAAGGTCACTGTCTACATAAGATTTCGGAAAAACACCCCATGAGTGTTTATATTAGACCACCACTGAACGTGTATGTTAGAATAGGGCACTCACAACACCCAGCTTAGGTCCATGTCGCCGCTGTTGTATTCCCGCTATCAGTGGTTGCCATACAGCAAGTTATTTTTTTTTTCAGAAAATGAATATTAATATTTCTGCACCTTTGTAATTTTGAAACAAATTTACTCATTTTAGGGTTCACTTCGCCGTTGGTCTGCTCGTGCTATCAGTTCTTCCTAAAACCGTTAGATAGGGTTATGTTCGTTTTGAGAAGAATGTAAATCTTTCCAAAACCTTTAAAGTAGAATTTAAGTGAGCTGTCTATCAGTTGTTCGCGAATATTTCGATTTGGCGATTGGGTGCCCTAAAATCGGAGTCGCCCTTTAAATGGGGAGTTTATAAGGTATTTCTCCCGCCTTCTTAGCATGTCTTTTTAGTGTGGAAGTGTGAACGCTGGGCGAGTATTCCAGAGGTCCGTGGTTCGATTGCCGGGGAAGGCGTTGCTCATTTTTCATCTTTCCGGCTTCCAAAAAATCCTAATGTCTCTACAAATTTCTATTTTTTAAAATTTTTTATTTTACTTTTTGTTTCATATACTTTAATTGCATTAATTAATTATTTATTGAAGCAGCTAGACAGCCCATGGGAAATACTCATGGAGTCCTGAATCGGAAACTGTTTTGAAAGTATCTGCAGATAGGCTTAATTATATAATTTTTTTTAAAATTTAAATTATTAAATTGTAATGTCAAATAATTACATATGTCATCCTTTTCTACAGTTTTGAAACATTTGTTGCTTCAACCGTTTATTTCCTTTGCAGCTTCTATTCTTATCTGTAAGAATGTAAAACAAACTCAAAGAAAAACAACTACAAATATTTTACGAAATTTTATTTTAGTACATTAGAGGTAATTGCTAATTTAAACAAATTTCATTTCTTCATCTAAATAATACTAGTTGGAATAAAAAAAGGATTTATGTTAGAATTTGTATGACTATATTTATTCATAAAAGAATATATGATTTCATATTTAAAAGTTCAATTGTTTTATGATGCCTAGAAAGAACTTAATGGATAAAAACAGAATTATATTAAAATAAAATATGATTTTCATGGATTTGGTGTTACAAATTCTCATATAAAGAAGTGTTAAAAATATTGATTCATTTTGAACAAACATTCTTTATTTTTGGTATTGAATAAATTAAAATTTATATCACGATTGAAATTTATGAAAAAGCTTGAATGAAAATGTGCTTTCTTCTATTGCATATTCCACTGAATTTTTGATTTTATATCTTCATTTTCTTCTTACTGTCATTTAAGTTTACGATTCTGTGTCTTCATCAATGTCATATTCTTCTTCTATGCTGGCTTCTTCACATGTTCGAGACGAAGGTAACCATATTGTTCCAGTAGGACATTCCACTGAAATATAATTTTTAACTTTTAGCACTTTAGGTAATACAACTAAATGCAAAGAAATGTTATTGTACTTAATTTTTTTAAAGCTATCTCTATAAGGGAAAATAAAAATATGTTTTGAATATACATATACTCTTTATAAATCGACATTTATAGTGAATCAATGCAAAATGCCAAAACGAAATTAATAATCCTTGTGGACAAATTGTTCCTTTAAGCTAATAAATTATTAAATTCATGATAAATAGTTAAATAAAAGAAATAAAATATCGGCCTCATCGAATTTTGAGCTCCGGCTGGACTTAAATTTCATTCAGAAAGCTATGCAATAGCTTAGCTGGCATCCGGCTGAATTCAAACCCTGAATAAACGGTATAACATACTATTTCTAGGGATAGATGAGAGAAACAAAAACTATTCTTTCCCCAGCACACCAAGGAAAGAAAATAAAACCATTAAAGCGGCACTAATGAGAACAGAGAGAATGACAGAAACAATATGAGAGCATGGAAAGAAATTTTAAATTCTCATTCCTAAATAAACCTTGACATGCGGATGGAAGATTTTCTTTTTTTAAAAGTTTTAACACCTCCGTCCGTTTTTTTCTCCAGAGAAAAACAGGTATGCTTTCGAAAGTTATAATCAAGTTTTAAGGCATATTTATTTTTGAAATAAATTTTTTTCCCGCTGAAACCCTGTTACATAAAAAAAGTGCCGGAGCTATTTTATTTAGGGCTCCGGTGAGCTCCGGTAGGATCCGACGCAATTTAAGCTCTGAAACATCAGTATCAGCAAGTATTAGTACCTGGGCTAATTTTTATCAAACCATCATGCAGTCGCCTTGTTGTATCACAAATGATGGCTTCAGAAGCATTTCTACCAGTTAACATTTGTTCATGTGTTCAAATGAGCAGCAATTTTCCCACATTCTTCAATCATCTGTGATCTTTGTTTCGTATTTTTCAATTGTCTATCACTGTTCTTGCAATGTCGACTTATTTGGTTGTACCTTTATTTTTTAGAATATTGAAGATTATTGATTTTGTCATATTGAACTAAGCAATGAGAGACATGAACACCATATTTGAATTTGACTAAAATTTCTTTTTTCACGTTTATGATTCTAGTCACCGTCTTTTCCTTTTGCTACTAATAATTATTCTTCGTTAGCTACGTGGTTCTTATTTAAGTATTGATATATTAATATTACATAATACGAATCACGATAAAATTTAAGTAAACATGTAATCAGTAGCTCTACATTTGAATTGGTAATTACAATGCTGCAGATACGTCAGAGAATAATCACCCAGCAATTCAAAAATCATCTTGAAAGGGTGAATTAAGAAACGAAGCTCGAGGAATGCAACTATAACGTATTACAGATTGGGTCATTGATTATTCTAAATGAAACTAAACCTATTAATACATAAATATCTCAAATTTAAAGTAGGACAGTATCACGGTTTATAAATAATTCCAGTAATAACATGGTTTGCATTATAAAGATATTTATAAACTGCAATACTATTAAAATGAAAACATAAGAGCGGTAATCCTCTGTTTCATTTAAATGATAATAATAATAATAATAAAAGATTCTGTGCGGACCTGTCATTGTCGATTTTGCATATGTAATATTTATTTATTATGTGATTTAACTACAATAAATCTTTTGATCTCATATGGATAACAGTTATGATCACTCACTAATTTAGGTTTCATTTTTTGTATTCAGACTAGTAATAATAAAATATACATAAGTGAATGACTTTTTGACTTTTGTTTTAATGTTATGTATTTCTTATATTAATGCATTGTGAAATGATTACGGTAATCTTCCAAGGACGTCTAAAACATATTTGATTTAGCATTTCCAGCCCCAGAAACAGAAAATTCAATGAAGAACCTCAGCTAAATACTCTTTTGGTTACTATGATCTTAAAAACTAGCGCATTTAATCGCCCAAAGAACAAGAATTTCTATGTATTTCAGAAGTTAAAGGAAACTAAAATGTTCCTTTCAAAGGTGCAGTAATTCTGAATAGTCTACACACTTTTATATAATAATTTTTTTGAATTTTTCAAATTGTATAACATTTCAAATTATCGTTTAAATCTCCTTTCAAAATATTTTCCGTCAGGAACTGATTTTAGATATTCAAAAGTTAAAATAGCTTAAATATGCGCTTGATCTTATTTTTTATTTTACATATGGCTTTTAATATTATATGTACTATCGAGAGGTTAGTAGTAGAGGAAGAGGGGTGGGAGACTGTCGGACTCGTTCCCCCCTCTGAGGTACTCACCATCAAAATTGGGGCGGAACTGAGCGAAGTCGTACTGTCACCTGTATAGTGTTCAAGGCTCTAACCAACGACAGGCGCAATCTTACTCTCCTTGTCGCGACGAATTTCATGGGCTTGTTCTGACGTTACTGTTAGACAAGGCTGCGTCTCGCAAGGTAGCCTCCTTGAGCCCATTTACTATAATATCTACACGAACGATATCCCACAATCACCCCACATTACCCTGGCAATGTACGCCGAGGATACGGCAATTCTCTCAAAAAATGCATCTCCTGGCCCGGTTATACAAACACTCCAAACACACATGCATACACTTGAGTCCTGGCTCAACGCCTGGAATGTTAAGATCAACGTCGACAAATCTGAGGTCATCTGGTTCACCAAAAGGACTGCCATCGACAACGAAGACTGCATTCACATGTATGTGAATGTGACACAAAAATTCGAGTGGACTAAGCATGCCCGACACCTTGGAATTACTTTGGATAGGCGACTCACCTTTGGACCCCACACATTACACAGATTATTGCTAAGTTCCGTGCCCGTAAACGAACACTTACCCCCTTAATTGGCCGGAACTCAGTTCTCTCTATTGATAACAAATTGCTCATTTACAAGACCCTTTTGCGTCCAATACTCTCATATGCCTGTCCTGTTTGGGGATACGCTAATATTACAAATGTTAAGAAACTTCAAACACTGCAAAATATTTTACTTGACAAGCGGCGAACTGTCTATGGTTCATCAGAAACTCGGCAGTTCAACCAAGAGCTTGAGATGCCAACGTTATATGTTCATTTTGCTAACCTTGCTGAAAAATTCTACAAAAATATTCCAAAATGTCAACAACAGCACTATTCCAGTGCTTAACTACGATTATAATACTGAAAGAAATAGAAAACGACCGCTTTCGGTCCTCAAGTACCTCGATCAGTAACTATCTTTTTAATTTATGCATTCACCTAATTGTCACAAATTAAATATATCTATACACTATCTCATACTGATTGTTTTCTGGTGTTGCTGTCTTTGCTGTAAATGTTTGAATCTGTATATATTGTATATATTTTAGTTTACTTTTCACTATGCTTTATATTCAATGTTACTTTACGTTACTTACTATTATTATGTTAGCTACACACACGAGGACTCTCATATTCAGCGAGTTTTAGGCACTTTTTGGTTTTTCTTCTCTCCATGCCAATTGCTTATCATGCGCACTTACCTTCGTCACGTCCTGCACCGCAGGGGTGTTTCCGTTGGACTCTTTTACGTACTCTCCCAGTTTTTATCACTGCTTTGAACTTTCATTTGCATCGACATGTACCATAAACTATTCGAAACTACAAAAATTCGAAAGTCAGAAGCATTACGCCGGGATAGCGATTTCACGCAGGTACCCGTTTTTGCGAAACTCTTCGAGTCTGCTTGAGCCGACAAGTGAGCTAAGTCACAATAATACAATATTATAAGAATCTTCTATCTTCAGTTAACCTAAATAAAGAACTGTACTTACAGCATATTTCTTCATTCGTCTCGTTTATCTTCCGATACTCATATCCTTCAGGGCAACTTTTTGAAGATGCTGGGAGATATTCTAAACAAAGTAAAAATAAAATAAAATAAAAATAAAATTAAGATTTAAATGTCATTTTAAAATTTAGTTTGTTTATTTGTAGAAACATTTCCTTTTTAATATTTCAAAGTATATGTTCTTTAGAAGACGCCACCTGTCACCTCTTAAAATAGAGTGTAAAGGAGAATTATTAAATTTTTATAGAAGTAGTTGGATTTTATATTCAGAGCAAGATAGAAAGAATGCATAAAATTTCCATGGATCTTTTCCATTTGTAATTTAAATATGAGGCTGAAGTTTTAAGTAATCTTCCATTTAAATCATCGAAATGAAACTTGAAGATTTCATATACTTTCGCCACAGCATTAATTAAATAACGTTTTTGATATATGGAATTTATTTTTGTCTTATTTAAGTTCGATATTAATAAATTTCAATGTATATTTTCGAAGTAACTCAGAACTGTCTATACATAAATCACTTTTATATATTACTTTTTTCGAATTTTTCAAATCCTATCATAGATCAAATTAGCATTCAAAGTATTTGATAGAATTTAACCATGGATCAAATTTTTGATTATCTTAAAAATGAAGATTTAGATTGAATTATCTTAGTAAATATCTTAGCGATTCTATCATTTGCATATTTTCATTTCACCTACAAAGCTGAAACAACATTTTTATTAATTTTAAAAGCGTTCTTTTCCTCTGTGGAAAATGCATTGTGTGTCACATGCTTTTTGAAAAATATTTTAAATTTAAGAATTTTGAAATAATTAATAAATAAAGCTTTCTTACTTATTTTCAACACCTGTAATTTCTTTCTTTATAGGTGAACAGTTAGAATTTCCATAAGATACATTTTAACATTTTTTTCTTTTTAAGCCGTCTTGAATAACTATGATTAAAATTACAAGTTATCCCATATATAATCCAGCAGTGGAATCGATAACACTTTCTTAAAGTACCACATAGATTAAAATCTGGCATTTGGTACAATAGTTGATACTGCTATCATCATACAATAGTTGATACTGCATTAATCAACTAACTGCAGTTTTTTTTGGGGGGGGATGTTTAATCACATTTTTCAACGTCTGTAAACAAGAGATAGTAAACTTTTAGTTTGTAAACTAAAAAAGAGGTTCTCTTTTTTATTCTCTGTTGCTCGAAAATGTAAAATAAAGGAAAAAAGAAAAACATAAAAGAAATTTGATCATACCAACTGCATCCCAGAAAGTATTAATTGTTTATTAATGGTAAAAATAATAATTATCATAAAAATAGTTAATTGAGATTTTTTAAATTTTATTTCTTTATTTTGAAAGTAATGCTTTAAGATATTATTCCACATGGGCATCCATGGCATCGCTAAGGTTTAAACACCTTAGCGATGCCATGGATGCCTTACCAGAGACACGTTTTGTGCGCCCTCACGTCACACAATTCTGCTGCCAGCTGATTAAGAAATGCACTTATTCCGTACTAAAACTCAAAGATAAACTTTGGGTGAAATATGGCCTACATCACTGGATTGTACTGAAACCCATGGTCAAAATCTGAAACTATATAACCACCGCAGCAAGTTGTTGTGCAGGATGAGAGTAACATGAGACCGAAAATTATTTTTGCAGATCAGTTTTTTTGGTAAAAAAACGCTTTGCTGACAAGAACGTAGCCTAGAAAATATAACGGTCTAAATCATGCATAATATGTTTGAGTTCAAGATCTCGATTAGAGTGGATTGATGTTAAATCAGTATGTTTCTTACGGAACATAGAAGAAAGGAGATACAGGTGAATGAATAAAGTGGTCGAATGAATAAAATTTAACAGTGGTAGTTCGATCAGCGTTCGAATCTCTGCAAACGGTCTTACTGCACAGATGTTTTCGTGGTTTTTCCTTCGTACAGCGTGGATATAAGGCAGTTTCTTTTGGAAAATCAATCCTCACCGAAGGCATATTTCGTCATAGACAGATAGCCCTTGTGCACTTTAGTACTAAACTATTCTGGATGAAGATCTGCATTTGTACTCTCCACCTTTTTTTTAATCAATATTTTTCATACGCTTCGGAAACTATTTACTTCGCATGAGAAACTTTCGAGGCGATTTGTCTCTTAAAAATGGAAATTATAGCTTAAATACCGATGTACAAAGGAAGAATGATCATTTGCACTGGCAAGCTAGCAGTTAAAAAACATCTTGTTGTATAACTTTAATAAACTATACTATGATTGGGAAACGTATGCTCTATACACAATACGAAAGTTAAAAAAATATTTATATAAAAGTCGCGATAGAAATAAAGATAAAATTTCATTTGTTTTAAGAGCAATTTATCATATCCAAGAAAATACCAAAATAAAATTTGTCCTTTTAATAATACACGTACACACATACGTATATACCATTGTACAAAAAAAAAGTACATATATAATATAATATAAGAGTGTAATATATATAGAAATATATAGAAGTCATACTTAAGCAGTCAGATATAACATCTACCGGAGACCATTCTCCTGATTCGTCACAAGTGTAGTAAGGATATTCATCTGGATTCCTGGTATAACCAGCATCGCAAAACGGCTGACAGAGCTTGCCGTATATCCAATCAACACAGTTTGCTTCACCATTGGCAGGGTCTTCCAGGTCATTGCATTGAGTACCTTAATGATTCAGTTATAGAAAAACAAGTATAAAATGTGTAAAAATCCAATTTCTGCAAAAAGATTTGAAAGATTTTTCTGCAAAACAAATTTCACTAAAACAGTCAATTTTAGGCAATAAAGCCTAAAATTGACAATTTTAGGCAATATGGTTTGATAACCACGAAGGATTAGAAATAAACTTTAGCACGAAATAATAGCTTTTAAATAATTAATAAAAATTGTAAAAATATATAGGATATCATAAATACAATTTTAATTCTGATATAAAAGGAGATTTTAAAATATAAAATTTATGAAACATTTTCCCTAAAACTTTCATCAGTGTGCGCACATTTACGATATAATATCAGATAAAAATAATCGTTCATGCTTTGGTACTGTCTTAATTGCACGTTGTCCTTTCTCCTTCCTGATATTGATTCAAGTCCTGAGTAATCTTTTCGTTTGAGTAAGTGCTAAAAACATACGAGTTCAGTCATTCCCGAAGAAATGGTTTTATGTGAGTACTCGGCTATTGAGGGAGAAACCCACATTTTACGGAGGACTAAGTAATTAATGGCCTTTGATGTTCTGCCTTTTTTTCACAAATACAAGTCAAGAATTTTATTAAAGATGTATATTAGTAATAGATTTCATTTTATAGATCATTTTTGATAAAATGTCAGACAATTTTTGTAGGTATAAAAGTATCTATAAAAATCAACTGAATTAATTTGATTAAACAATGTCTTTTACGAAATAAAATTCTCTTTCTTAGTACGCAAATTTTCTTACGCATGTTCTAGGATCTGCTAGTTACGAAAAATGCAGCTAAAAATAGTTCTGCTGCTAAATCAGTCACTTATATCGTCATGAATCATTCATTACCATTTCCTGATACGCATGTGTTTCTGAATTACATTCTATACGAATTATATTATATTTAAATGACTATTTTATATAAGATGCGTCCTACAGATTAATAAGGTCATTCCTTAATAAACATTACATGTCAGGCTAAACTTATTATTCTCTTGAATAGTTGAATGAAACTATTCTTTACGTAATGATATACTTCAATATACTGCAGAAGAGGATGTGAAAATAGTAAACAACCATCATTACCATATATTTAAATTTATAAAAATTACGAAGGAATTAATACTGCAGATCTATATTAGGTACTAGAGTTTCTCATTCATTATTAAAAGTCCTCAATCTCCTTAAAAATAGTAATTAAAAGAGAATAATTAATGGTTTGGATAGCTTAGCTTTCATAATTTTCCTCTGCTAACTCAGAGTTCGTAGGATAAACAAGGAATTGAACAACCTTTACATCTTATACTAAATGAGAGGTCAATCTGAATTCCTTAGCGATATTGTTCAAGATTCGGAATATATGTTCAGCCTCATGAAAAATGTTAACAATTCGCATCTGGTTCATTATAATCATATTTTCTCTTGCTGTTTATTAAAAATATTAACCACAAAAATCCACCGTTTGATTTAACGAGCTAAGTCATGTGTGTTTCACATTTTGAACATTTCGGCCGCATGATACAGCAATGCCGTCTGCATCAATGGTTTTGAAGGTCGCATGAGTTCTGCAAGTGCAGTTTGGATAACAAAGCGTTGAACGCTTTTGATTGAAATATGACATATCCTTATGATAACATATTATTTTAGAGAAGGTATGTGTCAAACCTAACAAAGCAAAAGAGTGCTAGAGTTGTAGGATTTCCCTCAGTTTTCTTAAAAATTATTTTAAGTTTGGTAACTTTCCTGAATCTCTTGTTTTTCTTTCGCATTTCCCGTCATTATGCAAATTTGAAGTCAAGAGAAAAGAGGATGAATACAGACGAAGCTTATGTAGCGTGATTGCAATTATGTTATGCGCCTTTATGACATTATTTGTCATTCATCCGGACAGGTTGCGTTATGCGCGATATTCGGAGAATATTCTGCTTCGATCCGATTCGAGTTTATGAAGAGCGTGATTTCGCTAGTCAGCTCACATTACTTCTTTGTCCTTGCTGAATTGCTGAAAAAGCCTTTTTGGCCATTTAATAATATATCTCCGGGTAGGTTGTCAAATCAGCCTAGTTAGCCTTAAATTTAAATTGTTATTCCAGCACAATTTATCTTTGAATTTATTGTGATAGTATTCTTAAGTTCCACCATAAGTCATCGGTGTTATTGTAAGCGCGAAGTACATGCATTTGTTGAGATACAATAGCACCCCGTACAAGTATTTAAAAGTCAAAAAACAAAAATCAGCGTTATATTTTTCAAATTTTCACAGGACTAGTTTCGATGGTTTAACCGAACCATCATCCTCAGCTGCAAAAGCGCAAATGAACGAAATAAGATATAGCGATTAGATAAGATAAGACAAGAAAGACTGGAATTAAGCTACTGGCGCCATCTGTTGATGAAACGAGAGTTAAAACATAATTTCCTTAAAGCTGAAGGCAAAGATGGATTGGACTTAGGGTCGCAAACTAGAACAGAAAGATTTTTTTTTTTTTTTTTTTTTGTGAAATGCCTTTAGAAAATCTAATTCCCAATTGGTGAATTAGATTTTCTAGAGGCATTTCACCAATCTTTCTGCTCTAGATTTTCTAGAAGCATTTCACATTAAAAAAACTTTCTGTTCTAGTTAACGACCCTAATTTCAATATATCTTTGCCCCCAGCCTTTAAGATAATTATGTTTTAGTTCTCGTTTCATCAACAGATGGCGTCAATAGTTTAACTTCTGTCCAGTCTTTCTTATCTTATCTAATCACTATATCTTATCTCGTTCATTTGCGCTTTTGCAGCTGGGGATGATGGTTCGGTAAAACCATCGAAACTAGTCCTGTGAAAATTTGGAAATATAACACTGATTTTTTTGTTCGACTTCTAAATTAATACATGCATTTGCGTTAAGAGTTTGATGAAAAATAAAGGGTTTATTTTACCCCTTCTTCTGTGCTGGTATCATTCACGCTTGTGCGAGAAGTCGCCAAGCTCCTTAGAAAGATCAGTTTACTTTATGATAGTGCAGAGAATTAGATCTTACAGAGCTTGCTGTAAAATCTGTGATTTATTACTCTAGGTATCAGAATTCCAGTTCTCAAAGAAAATTAAGCTTACTAGTTATGTTTATTTCAAAAGAACAGACGGCAGTATTTCCAGCAGCATCTCTTGCTCTGTATGTTACAATATGAACTCCGGGCGTCAAAGTTGCATCAGGTTCCTGAAAATGAAGATAAAACAAATACATTCTGTTTCTATGTAACAAAAATGCATATAATTTCGGATTCTTTAAGTTAAATTTTTTTAATTACTCCCTCTTAATAGCAAATGAAAACTTTAAATCATAAACGATTGTACGTTTATTTATTTTGTCGACAGCTGTAATAAAACTATAATAAAAATATTTCCATCAGCCTTTTATACGAAAATAGTATTAAAAAAAGAATGTTTTTCAAAAATTCCGTAGAAAAGCAATTTATTTCATTTCCTTTGTTTTAACTTATTGTATTTTTCCAAAATTTGTTTTACAACTGATAATATTTTTCAGATATAAAGTATATATTTTGGGCATATTAAATAAACGATCGTTAATAACAAATTAAATATTTTCATAATAAAGGGTAATGAAGCATAAAAATAAAATAGAAAAAAAAATAAGTCTAGTTCATGCTGAGAGGGATTCCGGAGAAATGTTTGTGGAAGTTAATGTAAATGCATATTACATCTAAACTTTTTGAAACATTATCCGAAGAAATTTTAAATTGTCATAATTCATCATTTATTCAAAGCAGTCAATATTGGTATTTTATAATTTGAAAATTTTTATTAGGAAACAGCACTCATATCATAAATAAATTTATGGAGCAATTCAATAAATTAGAATAAAGTAAAGGAAAAAATAAGTTCGAGAGGATTCAGATTTAAAAACATAACAGAATTTTTAAATCCTGTATTACTTTTTAAATCATATGTATATTTAAATCACATATATATGTAAGATATAATAAAATACGATGATTATTTTAAGAAATAATTGGTAACATCAAAATTGACTGTTCTAGATTTTATGTGCTCCTCCTAAGCTTATCCTTTCTCCATAATTCGAGATATTTCCAAATTACATAAAACCTTTTGAAAAAAGGTAACTTAAAATTCAATTAATCAATCACGGCTTAGCTTTACATATGCACCTACGTAGTATAAATATTGCCGTCGCGAACAATGATACCTTCCTTTTTTCTCATCCGGTTCTAGAAAATTTTTCCCTTATAACGAGAAAAAAAATATACAAGATTTTGTAGAGACATTAGGCATTTTTTTTGGAAGCAGGAGATGTGAAAAATGAGCAACGCCCTCGCTGGGAATCGAACCACGGACCTCTGGAATACGCGCCCAGCGTGCAGACCGCGAAGGCACGCTAAGAAGGCGAGAGAAATAACTTATAATTTACCGAAAGTTGAATTTACAGATGTTTCATCTAATAATAAATAAATAAATAAATAAAAAACTCTCTCGATTGTATGTTACGAGATTATAAAGAAAAGACAGCATAATTCTGGCATAGTATAATACTAAAGAAAAGAAAATGCATCTTGCTATGGGTCTAATATAGAGTTAGATAGATGAAACATTTGCAGCATATACATTACTGGAAAAAGAGTTTCAGAAAATGTTTCCTCACAAAATGCATATGCAAGTTATTCACAGTCTTTAAATTTGTACAGCGGTTTAAATTGTTCCATCATCTTGAATTTGAATATATATCTGCAGATTTTAAATATGTATTAGTAGGTTGTTTCATGCATCCTGAATTTGGTTGATTAAATGTAAACATAAATTTCCCATTGTGAGCTGGAAAATAAAGAAAAACGTTTTTACGCATTCATATAACTGAATATATCTATATTCAGGAAAAAACATTTGCTTTTTTTGAATGTTTCAGATATTTTCATAAAAGACTTGACACTAATTGATAATCAGATATTTAATACAGATCAGTTCAGCTTTAATACGGAAATTCATTTAGAACGTAAATTTGATTACTAATGAGATTAAAAGGATTTTATATTATCTGTGCAAACTAAAACTCTACAATCTATCAGTTCAGCGACACATTCATAGAGGATTATGCTTACTCTGAGTGGTAGATTATAATCTCCTTTACGTATTTCTTAACTTGAATTAGGAAGGGATCTACAGTACAAAAAGGAATGATAATTTGATTCATTTTATGTGTGCTACTACAAGCGTGTGTTGCTATTGAAAGCACTACAAGCTGCTATTGCAAGCTAGTATATTTATGTGTGTTGCTATTACAAGAACCTTAAAGGTATCCCGATTAGGGAAGAACTCGCATATAAAATTCTCTGCGTGGGGCCTCCACGTTGGACTTCGTGTAAGTAAAAATATAGACCCTAGCATATTCCAATTTTCGAGTACTGTGTGATATGGCCCTTGAAGATGCCAAGTTATTGGTACAGAAGAAATGCATGGGTAGCATAAAAATCTATGGGTAGGTGTAGTAAAACAAATGAAATATGAAGCAGAATCAAAATTAGGTGTTGTGCTTCAGATTACGGAGGAGGTGCGTGAAGTAGGATCTCAAACTTAACATCATTCAATGAATGTGCCATTTGGTCAATGATAGATCGGTTGCTTGGCTCCCACGTTCTCTGGATTTGAGCAGTCTGGAGTTCTTTCTTTGGAGAGCACGTAAAGGTGTTATGTGTGAAACACCTGTCGAGTCTGAACCGTATTTGGTTGCAGAATCATCTGCAATGCTGCAGATGATTTTGCAACCAAATCCAGTGCTGCAGATATCCAAGGAAATCCAGGTGTTTTTGATAATGCCCGCCATTCCATGGTCCGCCGGTGTAACGCGTTCATATCTTGTAATGGTGGAATACATTGCGTATCTTTTGTAATATTCTGAAACGATATAATCTACTGTAATATAATATAATGATTCATAAATACTTCTGGTAATCTCTGTCTTGTGTGTTGTTCCTGTATCTCTGATACCAGTTTTCTATTATGTTTTCTGTCATGGATTTCTATGCAATACTAATTTTTTTGACTTGCCTTACTTATTTATGGGACACCGTGATTAATAATATACATGTATTTAATGAATAGTTATTTACAATGTATTCTTTTTCTTGCATGAAATTTTTCCCGGGTGATTACGTTAATACGTTAAGTACAAAATTAATTTAAAACCGTCGATCGCTTTTGATCGCAACTGAAACGTAAGATATCCACGATCGGACCCAATGTCATTTACCATCTTCAAAGATCAGAAACTCGTAAAGCCGCCCTTTCCATTTATGCTAATAGATTGCTACACAAGCAAGCAGCAAAATAGACCAAGTCTCAGAAGGGAGCCAGAGCCCTGGATCGTCGGATGTTCTTAGAAATATTTAACAGATGGTTGTCAACGTGATTTTTTCGCCACAAGACTGTTCTTTGTATTTTTGCGAGTCCTTAAAATTTTCCATTTTTTTGAAAAATTAGTACAGTGTAAAGCTATAAAGAATTACGATATTTCATCATACGAAATGGGTGGTGTTCTCGTGGTGAAAATATCTAGCACCACTCGGCTAGCAGTTAGAAGATTCTTGGTTAGAATCCCGAGTACATAGTTAATTTTCGTGTTCCCTGTTACGAAAGTCTAATGTTTCTTTAATGCTAAGTATAATGCTCCGATTAATGCTAAGTTTTATTCTCTCTCGTACCATGTTTATTCCAAAATATGAAAAAAATATTAAAGAATAATAGAAACAGGTAATATTACGTTATTCCACGTGAAACAGATCATAAGACTGCATATGCCATGAATGGCATATGCATATATGCCTTTCATATAGTCTTATAATGGTAAATGGTAAATAGATTATAATGGCAGGTAAAGATTTATAATGGGATGCTGCTATGTTACCTATCCAGTTCTAAAATGAGATACTCTGATTCTGTAATCGTTTATTGAAATAACTGAAAGCGACCAAAAACTAATATGATGAATAATACTCCAATGTCTACGTTACCAAATTCTTGGAGACACTTTCGATGCCAACGTTATCGACTGCTTTGGGTTCTTCCCACTTCACCGAAGTACCTTGCATACTTGTTGCTTCAACATCGAAGGATTCTGGGCAGTTAAGAAATATGGGAGGTTCTCTGTCTAAAAAGAAAAAAATGAAATATAAAAGTAATTAACAATGAAAACAGATTAGAAAAAATCCGAAGGATTAGATTTCCTTAGTTAATATTTTAAGTTAGCATTTGAAATCAGTTCAAGATTGAATTTATTTATTATGCAAATGTTCTATAACACATTTTGATAACAACATCTGAAAATTGTTACTATGGAAACTTGGTAACGGTTGGAGAGAAAGTGGCGAAAATACTCCAGCTGAGAAAAAATTAACACAATTTAATACTTTCAGAAGAATTTAGAAGAATGTTTTTAGAAATTTACCAATAAAGTATTACAATTTTAGTTGAAAATATCTGAAGTACATGACGGTACTATGATAAAAATTTTATGAAAGTATCTTGAAAAGCTTTTGAAATATGCTGCCCGAAGCACTGAAAAAGCGTTCACCTCAATAAGCGATAAACTCCTCATCCTAAAAATATCATCGTAATTACGTAACTAGGTCCAATTAAAATATTCCCCCCCCCATATAATCGATCTTAAGTCACGATATAGGTTTCTTTCTAAAATCTGCTTACAATCCCCACACAGTGAAGCCTTTCGATCAATATTCGAAATAAGGAAACATTCAAAGCTTTTTCTTATACCTTTCATGCCTGTATATAGCTTGGAATTCCATTTATTGCCTTTGTGTTTTCTATGAATTACTGCTGCCTCCCTGCTTCCAGTTCTAAAACTTGAAGTACAAACTATCGACTAATGTTGTTTTAATTACAATTTAACAATGAAATTATATTTTCTATGTTATGATTTTAGAGCTAATAAAGATTGGACACTGAACTCTATAACGAAAGGTATTTTTCAAGTTATGCTTTGGTATTTGTAGCACACCTTTTATATTAATGCATACAGTAAGTATCGCAAAGTTGTTCACTCAAATTCTAAAAATCATTTTCGTCAATTAAAATTTAATCAGTTTATTGATCTGAGACTCTTAAGGACTTATGAGGTCTCATAACCTCAACCTTAAAAAATCAATAATTACAAACATGTATGTTAAAGGGCGAACATTTCCGCATGTTTAAAAAAAGCTGCATGAAAGTATTTCGTAGATTAGGAAATATCGTTAAAAGCAAAATAGTCACTTAGAGGATCCTTATGATTAAAGTGACCTTAGATTAACAAACATTTGAGGAAACATAAACCCCTTTATTTGTGCTAAAGAAACCTTATTCTTTTTACAAATATGCAGTGTTATTTCATTAAAAATATATGTAAAAAGATTAAACTACAAGACAGATATTCTAAGCACTATGAATTAATAGCATAAGATACGTATGTTGAAAAATAGTTTAAGACATGTATTTTCATGTAAAAATAAAATTGGATTCGAAAAAATTGTTTTACTATTTTTTTTTTCAAAACGGTACTTAGTTTCCGAATACGCCTCGTACATATCCTACTGGCTGAACAAGAATTTTCCGCATTAAATTAAAGTTCAGTTTGAACAAATTAAATTACATAAAAATATATATGTTCTTTTTTTAAACTTATTTCAAAGCTACCAATTGGAAAACGGGAACTTCAAGGTTATTTCAATCCTCTTGATTTGACTCGTACACATGGGAACAACAGCTGCGGATAAAAGGTTGAGCCATTTATTTTTTTTCCACTTCATTTCCTTTTAGCATGTTTCGATTACGCACTAAACTATTTACCGAATTATAAATTTACGTAATTTGCTTTTGCTTAATAATATGTTTCTATGTATTAAATATGCGTTTAATTAATACTGGAAAAACTAATTTATTTAATTTTCAGAGGTAACTTTAAACAATAATTCTGTTAATACAAATCAAGATCAAATTAAAAAAGATCAAATTAATAAGATAAAATTAAAAATTAATTCTATTTCCCAAACTGTAAGTAATTAAGCTTGTAACATAGACTGTGTGATCTAAATCAATTTTCAACTACACATGAAAAAGTCTGCCAGAGCGTGCGAATGAATACTAACTTGAACTACAGTCACACATGACGTTGAAAAAATAAATGCTACAAGGTTACGATGACACGAGTTACGATCGAAAATGGAGGGGGCTGGCAACGGCTTTGAAGAATCTATTTTAAGGTAAAAAGCAGGCGAGTAGGTACATCACACCCATATGTCAATATTAGTCTCACTTTCATTACCCTAAAAGTGATAAAATTTCCTAATTTGACGACGGTATTCTTACAGATAAATATTACGTCAAATACTATCTGCAAAATTTGTAATGATTTTCCATTTAACATTTTTCAGGCAAATTAATTGTTATCTTATTAGCTAATTTAAAATTCAATTTGCACTTTGAAATGGAAGTTTCATAAGTGCGAAATTTGTGATGCAGTCTGGTAAGAACTGCATAAATAATTTGAATAAGATCACATAAACTCACCTACGACATTAACTGTCATTGTGCAAGTTTTATTTTGTTTTTTCGGATTCGAGCTAACAACAGTAAATATAATGTCTGTCCTGCCGGCTGGGAAGCTCAAGGGAGTTTCTGTAAGCACCCATTTGGGAGTGATGGAGAAGTCTTCCGTGTTCGTTTGTGGACGTGGAATGACAACAGTAGTGTAATTTTGACCAAGAGAAAGATCAACTGATATGTCTTCCGGACACGATAATGAAGGATTGACTGACACTGAAAGATAAAAAAAGTAATCAGGTTTTTATTATGACATAACGTTCTTAAGGAATGTACACAATATTCGGAATCTAATTTTTAGAACAAGTGCTGATCATATATACGTAATAACAAAAGTTTATTTCCATCATGTACATATAGATTTTAATATAAAACAATATATTAATAGAAACATGTATGGGTCATACGGATACGTTTGTTTTCAAAAATAGCTTTTTAAAATAGAGAGTAAAGGTAGGATTATTCACCTTTTAGATTTTCAGTTCTTTTTCCTTTTCTGTATAAATTATCTCTATTCCGAAGAGAATGAAGATAAACGAAACGAAAACTATTTTGGTCAATAGGCAAAATTTCTATTCTAAATATTAGAACTTTCAGAAAAAAAAAATTTGATATGTAGCATAAAATAAGTTATTTTAGTTTAATATAGCAACATAATTATCAAAACATACTTGAATACTATGATTACACAAACATAACATGATACATGCACATCTATGCTTGCGTATGATTACATTATTTCATGTACCTAAAAACTGTAACTTTAAAGAAACTGTATGATTGTAACTGTAACATTGTAACCGTATGTGCATCTTAATGAGTAGTACAGTCGTGCATCCTCGTAACTTATTCTTGTTAAATATAAAAGTTGTTATATTGGAAAGATGACATACCGTTTTATTTTAATAAGCGAATTAGTTTTCTTCCTGTATAACGAACATGTGTGTTGACTTTGTACACTATAGTGGTGTACCCGATGTTACACAGTTTTTTTTTTTTCCTAAGACGGACAGTTTTGCCTTCATCTATGAAGGGCGGTTCCCAAAACAGGTTCCACTCTATAACTAAGCATATTCAGTTATATTATCCAAACTACATTTAATTAATATTAATTTAAATAATATTTTGTCTAGGATAAAAAAAATTAAAAAGATTTAACTATCTACATTTCTTTCTTAGTGCCTACTCACCGCCATATCTTTGCGCCTCTGAGACTGCCTAGGTTCGCCTAGTGTAAAACTGGCCCCACTGTGATGTTGATCTCAGTATGAGAGAAAGGTATTGCAGTAAAAATGGCGAATGTTTTCATAAAGCCACTGTGTTAATCTTCGTCACTGTAAATAAAAAATGGTTGCCGATTTCTGATAAAATACGCGCAGCATACTGAAGTGTAACTGAACCATGTTTTATATATGAAATACCACAAGCTCAGACTACTGACAAAGGAACTGGCGACGTTCAGTAAAGTTAACAAAGTATCGAATGCTAGGGATTAAAAATGCCCAGAATCAGGTAAAGGGGCACATGATGAGGTGTCTGAACAGTAAAAGATAAATTAAAGATCTTTTATTTCTCACGCAGTGGTAACAAGAACCAGCTCACCTCGACAATAAATAACATGGAAGCATAACGTTATGGTCCAGAAGGTGCAGAAAGCCTTCAGTGTAACTTTCTACGGTTGAAAAATAATTATTCTTTTTGACACAGATTTGTGTCATACGTTCAAGAACTTAGAAAATGAATGCGTATGCTTTTAAATTAATTAAATAAATAAATACTTTTAATTATACAATGAGCTTTTACAAATATCTCGATAGTAAGCAAAGTACTTTAAAGCTTTTACAAAAGAAACAGGGATTCTTAGCAATCAGATATGAAATATATATCTGTTACTCTCTAAGAATTTAAGAATTTAAAACACATGTAGTCATGTATAAATGTGATATAATAATAATGTAATATAATATAATAATAATAATGTAAATATGTAAAATGTAATATAAATATAATAATATGTAATAATAATAATAATAATAATAATAATATAATATAACTCATGTATATAGTATAAATAGTATGCAGATAATATTTTCTAATATCTAAATTAATACTAAGATAAGACTACTAGCATATCGACATTTTTGAAACCATGAAGCATGACACAAAAAAGTATTCTTGTAAAGTAGGTATTATAATTATTTACCTGGTTTACAAACTGGAGGTTCAGGTTTGTTCCAAGATCTGTTATTCTTGCACAGCATGACAGGAGGACCTTGAAGTTTATAACCTGGCTGACATGTAAAATAGCACTTCTTTTTCACTGACACATTTCCTAATGTACAAGCTGGCGGACGCACTTCTCCATACTCTGGAGCTTCCAAAGCAGGACAATGTAACCCTGTGAAATGCACATACTATTTTGTTACTTAAGACATAACTGAAAATATCAATGTAGTAACTTTGTTTTTTAAAATTATTTGCCTAATTTCATTGTTTTGATTGCTGTGTCCTATGGTAATTGCTTATATTTTTAATTCTTATCTGATATGCGTCGCTGAACACTGGTAGTTCGGTCTGAGGTTCGAATCCCGCGAACGGGCTGGGTGTTTTCGTGGTTTTCCCCATGTGTAAAGTGTATACGAGCCAGTTTCTCTTAAAAAGTCCTCCACGAAGGCATCCCTCCCTTAAGGCAGATAGCCCTCGAGTGCTTTGCCGTAATCTAATAAACCAAAACCAAACTTAACTGATATGCCGAGCATGCATAAGTCTATGGTACTTCTGAGAATGTAAATGTTTTAGTTTCATATTTAGAAGTTTTTGAAAATATTTTCGGTTTTCTATATTCTCCTGACATTTTCAGCTTTATAAATTTTATTTTTATATTTTGAAAACGCTGATTTTAACATGTTTGATATTTGTAATAGTAAAACACTTGGTACACCTGGATAAAATTTGTATAAAAATTGCTTTTGTTCTTTTATTACGCTTAGAAAGTGCACTTGAGAAGTCCGTTCAGTATTCACATCCATTAATCCCGAGTTCTCTAAACTACTGTCAGTCTATGTATGAAAAAAAGTCCCATAAGCATCTTGCCAAGGTGTAAATTATCCTGAAAGAAACTAATAGTAGTTACGTTCACAAAACAATAAGGGTTAGTTTCTTAGAATAAAAATCTAAGAGTGAATAGGAAAAATGGCTTTCAAGTAGCAAAAACCAAGCATATTTATGGCCTCAAAAAACTTATTATTTATAAAAATATCAACAGTTTTGACAAAAGAGTTTTATGAAGAGCATAATTACAATTATTTGATAATATATATTTTTAATGTTTTAATTTAATATTGGAACAATCAATTGAGAGGTTGTTTGCACACTTTTATATACATTTAAATTTAATAATCGAATAATCAATACAGAATGTTGTTTGCCACTTTTAGAACTATTTCGATAAAGAATTCCCCCCAAAATGTTTTGGAATAATAATTTCTGGCAAAAGCTTATTATTTCAAATGAGAAATATCGTCTGCTACTAATTCATCAATCTTTCAAAATGTCGCAAATAAACAAATTGTAGATTGAAGGATATGTTTTTGTGTTTTTCGAAGAGAAATATTCCTATTTCATAATTAGAAAATATTGTGAAATGCATGGTATTAAAATTTCTAAGTACAAAATGGCCAACATTTATAAACTGGAAAGGGAAAAATCGTCGATCATTGTTTCTACATGGAAAGAAGACTCCAAACAAGCACCCGAAAAAGGTACGTACTGTTACTATTGTTTCCAAAGTTAAATTATTGATAATAAGAGAATGTCCGACGACGCAGAAATCAGTTGCAAGGTCTTTAAATACATCTGTAGCAACAACTAATAATATAATAAACCAAGATTTACATATTAGAAAAACATATTTTTGATGCTTGTAGCTAAATGCAGAGCAGTTTGTGTAACCCTGTATGTATACTATTTAGCTGGAGATAAGTGAAAATATAATGTGACCATTGATGAAGCATGGATTTACCTAAAAGACTGGAAAAAAAAAATGGGTCTATTTTTTTTATCGGAAACGAAGAAAAAAAGGTTCCGTCAATGCAACGAAAGTTTTAATAAAGGGTTTGTGATTTTTGCAGGATTGTCTTACAATCAGAAATTAAAAATAAGAAGAGCGGGAAATTTTTTAAATATTTTCTTAATGTACTATTAAAAGAAAGTTTTACGTCCGATATTTACAGAAGAATTTCAAGTGTAATTTTATCTAAACAAAGCCAAAGCAATAAATCATACTTTGAAAAGTATCACTGCATTCCTTGAAGACTGAGATAGGTATTGTATATACATATATATACCTTTTTCAACCTATACTATTCTATACCAACATGTTTCTGTGAAGTCCCCTAATCAAAGAATATGTATTGTTCATAGACGTTCTTTGCCCTAATGTTTCGCCTGCGGACTATTGTGCCTTTGGTCTCTTGAAAGGAGCTCTTTCTAAGCGCAAACCGAATACGATTGATAGAATCCCGGAAAACAGTGGAAGAGGAATAGGGTTAAATAGTCTTGAAAATTTTATTAAAAGCCTTTCTCTCATGAAAATAACGACACATACTTATAGTCCAAAAAATAAGGCTATCAGTTCAAACATTTAAAAATATATTCCCTATATTTTAAACTTAATTAAACAATCCTGTAAAAAATAAAAATATATACCCGAAATAAAAATGTGTAAAGTCTCTGTAATTAAAACATTTCAAAGACGTCACTGTACCTTTTTCAAGATAAAAATCTATTTGCCCCTGCTTTTCTTACTTTTTACAAGTTTTTATATAAATAATTACATCAAAAATTAGGATATGCCTATTTGATATATTTTTATATTTCTATGTTATTATTTTGATAAACGCTTAATTTAATTTTATTTATTAATTATTATTTACTTCTAATTTTTCTTACACATTTTAGAATGGATGAAGAAAAACTTTAAACATCACAAAACTGCAGTTGTTATATATCTTATAAATGAAAATAATTATGATTAAAGTTAAAATATTTAAAAATACAACATTATCAAAACACCGTTAGATTTCACGATTCACCGTTCATGATTATATTCAAAGACTAAGAATTACCACAGCCGTAACCCGGTAGGCCCTGCCTGACTTTATATCCTGACTACTAGGGGGAAAAATAAAAATGGTTTTAATTACCTTTGCACTCGGGTACTGGTCCACTCCATGTGCCGTCGTTTTTGCATGTGATTTTGCCTTCTGTAGTCAACTTGAAACCATTGTCACATTTAAATTGACATTTTGTGCCAATTGGATAATCATTAAGTTCTGAGTGTGGTTTATTCTCGCTGTCTGAACTTGAAGAGAGACGCGTGCCATTTTTCGCAAAACACTGCATTCTTAGGTGGTTTGGGACTGGTTCACGAGGACAACTGGCAGCTGTGAACAGAAACATTTTACTTAAACCACAGAAATCATTTAAATTTTTTTCAATCTTCTCAGTGGCATCAGTATATATACAATAAAAATTTTGTACTTCTCATCGTAAGTGTATTAAAATACAAAAAGAATTGATGAATCATTCATCAAAAAAGGACATTATCCCTTGGCAAAATTCATGAAAATTTCACTGTCCACCGAATGCTTAACTACTCAGACAAGGAGAAACTGCATTAAATATATTTTACATGAAAATAATACAAAATCTCATTATTGTTACGAAGTTATATGTATAAACATATTAGTGTTTAAAAATTATTAATGTTATAGGAATGTTATTTTCATGAATAAAGTACGTAAGATAAATGCATTCAAGGAATTCTTGCCGAATTTAAAGTTTTATGCCTGAAAATAGAGACAAAACTGGCAGTAAATAAAAATAAAATTTAAAAAAAATATTTTTTTTTTCATTTATTAACTGCCTTTTCTGTTTCTTAAATGCGATGAAAATCATGTAAGTTTTATTCATTTCACTAACAAAGTATGAACTACAAATGCTATTAAACTTCCTTTTTTTAATATCTAGCTTTTTTTAGTTATTTTGTTATCTACTTTCATGATACTGGTCTATTCCTGAATTACGAATATTAAGCTCTAGTAGAAGAACGCGAGTATAATGATGTTGTTTCCTATTATTGCTGTGAAAAAACATTAGGCTTACTTCTGTGATTTAAATTATATTTTGCTTGTAGTCAGTTACATTATCATTTTGATGTGTAAAAAGCAAATTCATATAGAAGGAAGGAGAATTTTAAGTTAGACAGAGTTGCAGTGGCTCACATTTGCTTTCAAACACTTATAGTTTTGAGATTTATTTGCATAGATTTTCAGTAAAATATTAGAAGATAGACTTCGAAAAGTATTAACAAAGTATTTTTTCTATATTTTAAGCTCTGTTTGTTTCAGAATAAGTAACATCAAAACATTATATGCAGTAAAATGATATATTCAAGAAGTGTTAATCAGTAGCCCCTATAATAATAATTCGGACATTCGTAAATTTCGTTGAGATGTTTTTGCAAACTATATTTCTCGTCAAAATGAAAACTTATGACAAGAAATTTCATCTGCGTTTGGAAATATTGACTTGTTTAGTAGTTCCATATTAGCAGTTCATATCTGACGTGAACATGGAAAGATACTATAAATTAACGACAAGTTCTGTTAGAAAATAAATTTTTATTATTTTAAAGATATTAAAATATCCAAAAAAAATCTTTTTTGTAAAGTATTCAAGCATCTTTGCTGCTGTGGAAAAATAGAAAGTGTTTGTAATTGTTGAAAATGTGTTGAATTGTGGCGTACTTTCCAAGCTAACACTAAGGAATTGGAGATTTGTCCTACGAAAAATCAAATAAGACTTAAAGTCTCTGAAACTTGTAGCGGATTTAAAAAAAATACTTTGCAATAAAATTTAACTCCGAAACTGTTAGAAGAACCATAAAGTTACATGGATGCTATAAGCGATCAGCAAAAAGGGAATTGTTCGTCATCAAGAAGAATATGCAAATACGCCTTTGTTACGTTCACAGAATTGATGGTAGACAAAATTTTATCATATCGGAACAATGCATGTTTGCAGAAAAGACAAAGTTTAATGTATTTGAATCCGATAGACGAACTGTTGTGTGACGAAAGCCGAATGAAGAGTTAAATCCAGAAACTTGCTGCCTACTGTTAAGTGCGAGAGTGAAGATATAATGGTTTGGGAATGCTTTTTAGCTGCCTCTGAGAAACTTAGTTTTTTATAGAAAATGTGGCTGGATGTAAATATATAAAACTTTTAACAAAAACCTAAAAGCATCTGCAAGAAGGCTCGGAATGCAAACTACGTTCAAGTTCTATCACGATAAAGATACTAAATATGCAGCCCTAAATATTCGCTTGTGGCTGTTCTTGAAAACATCAAACTCCACGGTATTCTTCAGAATTAAGTGCTGTCGAACATGTATGAAATGAGTTCAGAAAGGAATAAGAAAACGGTATTTCTTCACTACTATAAGCAATTTTTAGGGAGAATGGAACAAAATAGCATATTCTTATCCGAAAACATTAACTGAATTATTAGAAAAGCGCATGAAAAGTTAATTTTAGCTAAAGGATATCCAATGAGATACTAAATGTTCTGATATTTTCATATTTTTATTAAATATAAGGTGTTTGTTCAAAGTGTCTGAATACTTATGTGAGTTCATCTTCGAAATATTTTGAATAAATTATTATTATTATTTTAACAAAAGGTTGCAAGGTTCTTATCGTTTTAGTTAACCAGTTAGTATGATTTAGATCTTTACTATAACTTTTCCTTTACGTTTCCTCACCAGAATGCAAATCAGTTTCAGAGTATTTAAGTCGAGAATTTTGTAAGACAAAGCGTGTTTCTGTAAGTAGCTAAGTAGCCTCTTACCAACTTATGACGATACTTGCAAAATACATCTTCCACAATGTTATACCAAAAAAAAAAAAAAAAAAAAAAAAAAAAAAAAAAACGAATAACTGGTGGAACAAAGATTTACGTATCCAACAAGTCAAATGTAGATCACTCCGTCGAAAACTTAAACAAAATCGACGACTTGGTATACATATACAAATCTTGGGAATTTATCAACGCGAAAGAGCCAAATACAAACATATACAAACGTATGATTGGTCAAGCGAAAATAACATCATGGCGAAAATATTGCACCGAAAATAATGAAATATATGGCATTCATCATAAAATAGCTACTAACCACCTATATAAACTACCTCAACTGTACCTACAAACTGGACCGGACCACCAACCAAGTGATATAAATAATTTATTACAGCAAGTTTTTAACACCATTTTTGGACATGATAACCCACTCGATGATACTTCTGAACAACATAAAATCAGATTTGCATCTACAAGCATACATACTTCGGCAGACCAACAATTTACGACACCAGAAATTAAAAATATTCTTCATCACCTCCTGAAGAAAAATGCTCCAGTGCCAGACGGCATCGACTATAATATTTTCAAAGCTTCAATACAATCAAATCTACAATTCTTTAAACTATATTTCAATAAACTGACTGGCACTTTTCCTCAAGCATTTAAAATATGTCAAGTTATTCTCTTTCAGAAAAAGGATCGAGACCCAACATTATTAGATTCATACCGTCCTATCTATCTTCTCTCTTCTCTCGGCAAAATTTTTGAAAAAAATTATTAGTCAACCGTTCAAACACCATCTCCATAGAACTAATTTTATCAGCTCCCAGCAATATAGCTTTCAAACAGGAATATCAACACTGTATGCATTATCTAATATTAAGGAAACTTTATTAACCAATAGAATGAACGGCCAACATACAGCATTTATCAGTGTAGACCTCAAGGGTGCATTTGATAGCTTATGGTGGCCGGCTATTATCCAAGGTCTTAAGAAAGCAAAGTGTCTTATCAATTTATACAATATATTCAAAAATTACCTCTCAGATTGTCACCTTCTTCTTCTGCATAATAATGGAACTATTTACAAAAAACAAGGAAAAAGCTGATCGCAGGGTTCCTGTGTGGGACCCTTATTATGGAACATCACTTTCAACAATATACTCAAAGCTTCCTGCCCCAGTCATACAAAAATTCTAGTATATGCAGATGATGTAGCTCTCATTGTGTCAGGAAATACGCGTGAAGAATTACAACGAAACTCAAATGAAGTTTGTCACCTTCTATACCAACGATGTTCTAAGCTCAAACTTGAAATAGCCCATCACAAATCTCAAATCTTATTGATTCCTAAGAAAGGCGGATCCCTTACACGACAACCTCGGAACCATTAACCATTAACGGAAATCGTATTAAAATAGTCAAAATCTTAAAATACCTTGGAGTAATTTTTGACAATAACTTAAACTGGATTAACCACATTCTGGATCTTAAAAAACGCGCATATATAACAGCTAAAAGTCTAAAAATCTATGCAAGGACGAAACTGGGGCATCAATCCATACTTTCAAAAAATCCTTTATGCCACAGTCGAGGAAAAAATAGTCACATATGCTGCAGCTATTTGGACTCACCCTATGCAAAGATGTAAAATCAAGCATCTCCAAAGTATTCAAAGACCATTCATTCTAAATATAACCAAAGCCTATTGCACTACCTCCAACAGCTCTCTCCAAGTCCTTGCAGGCTTACTACCACTCTACATAAAAGTGGAACAAGAAGCAATAGCACTAATTATTTCACTCCTACGTATGCCAGCAACATTTCATGATAATGGCTTTCCTCCAGCTAACTTTGAAGAAAAAAATCAATCCATATGATACACATATCGCACTCCAGAGTATTGGCATCTCCATAAATCTTACAGAAATACCTGAAAGCATATATAACATTACTATTTACACAGATGGCTCCAAACTCGATGAAAATGTTGGTTGTGCATACGTTGTTCTCCACAATAATCTTCGTTTCCATGAATGGAAAGGACATCTACACCCCAGCAATGTTTTTCGTGGCGAAGCTTCCGCAATAAAACATGCACTTCTCCATATCGAGCCCAATAGCCTGAAACTCAACATTATAAAAACAGATAGCTTATCGACACTCCATGGCATATTGGAACCTCTCCATAAGTCTCCCATCATTAAATGCATACATACAATTCTCCAAAATAATAAACAACTATGTACCCAACTCTTATGGATAAAAGCACACTCTAGAAACACTGGCAATGAATCGGCTGATTCTCTTCCTAAGGACGCTGCCCCGAAATATTAATGCCGATATTCTCCACATACCTTGGTCAATATCATATCTAAAACGACAACTCCAATTAAAAGTGCACAGCATATGGCAAGAAAAATGGGATGATAATAGCACTGGCCGAAGAACATACTATCACCTCTCTTATGTCAATAGTAGTCGCCTAATAGTCAATCCACATTTGGTTCGTTACATTTCTGGACATGGCCCATTTCCTGTTTACTTCGCAAAGCATGGCATTTCTCATACTGACCATTGCTGCTGTGGTTAAATAGGTACTCCAGAATACTACATTGCTGCTTGTCCACTAACTGAAAACTCCCACATCCCAATTCCAAATTTCAATACTCAAGCTTTCTGCAAATTCATGATCCGCCAAAAACACCTTGCAAATTCAGTTTCCAAAATTATGCAAAAGTTGTTCGACCTTGGTTTAGACCTCTGTCAAACATAATATCTTATGATAACTTTATGATCGTAATATTGAATACAGGAGTGGGTGTCTTAATCAAGGCGGTGCTCAGCTACCAGCACACACTTACTGTTTAAATCCAAATAAGGTTTCTGGAATATTAACATTCTAAATGAATTCTATTTCCAGCTTCGTAACAAACGCGTATTATACACTCATGTCCATAAATTAAGGATAATGCAAAATCAGGCAAAGGAAAAGTTAGAAGCAAAACAAATTTGACTTATTTGTAAAGCTTATTTATTAAACAAAAGGTAAAGAGCAAAAACAGATGCTATATGTTTTTATTAAAAAAATTAGCGAAAAAAAAAAAAAAAAAAAAAAAAAAAAAAACTTATTTACAAAAAACCAATATTACATGGTTGGTTTGATTGTTAATACATTGTATGTCTCCCAGACGATGCAATACAGTCCGTACAACGCCTAGGCATCTGAGTATCAAATTATCGATCTGATCTTGGGGGATATTACATCACTCAAAAAGCAATGCACTCCGAAGTTCCGGTAGACATGTAGAAGGAGGTTGACGGGCTGCAACTCGTCGGCCAAGCATGTCCCCACACGTGTTCTACTGGTTCAAGTCTGGTGAGAATGCTGGCCAGTCTGTACGGGTGATATCCTCCGATTGAAGGCATTCGCTTACGATATTTGCACGGTGAGGACTGGCGTTGTCATCCATAAACAAATTGTGTGCCCATGGCACCCCGAAACAAATGTACATGTTGTTCCAGAATGACGTCCCGATAGATATGGCTTGTCATGATTCCAATTTGAACATGAAGGTCAGTTCTGGAACCCAGAATAATTCCACCCCAAACGAGCACTCCTACACCACCGTAACGGTGTCGTTCAATGATGCTTTCTTGGTGGTAACGAATACCTGGAGCTCTCCATATGAAAGTCCGGCGAGAATCAGACTGCAAGCTAAACCTGGACTCGTCGGAAAACATCACACAAGCCCACTGTTGCGGTGTCCACAGTGGTCCACGCTCTACTCCAGGCTAACCGCAGGCGACAGTGAGTTGCAGTAAGTGGAACGCATCTGACAGGTCTACGAACATATAAACCAATCTGCCCTAAGCGTCTGTACACGGTCTGCCTTGAAATTGTCGTACCAGTGGCTGAAGAGAGCTGACGAGGCAGGTCTCAGGCTGTGCTCCACCTGTTTGTTTTGGCAGTAACTGCCAAATACCGGTCCTTATTCGGCGCTGTAACTCTGGGGCGACCTGTGCTGTAACGTCTACTCACATTACCATCATCTTGGAATGTTGCCAAAGCCTGGAGATGACACTGGGCAATTCCAAGTTGTCTGATACTTCCAGTTGGGTACGCCACATTCCAGACGGCCGATAATTCTACCACGTAAAAAATCATCCAAATGCGTCCTTTGTGTCATAACTTCGGTTATGCACTGAAATGCTTATAAAGCGCCTGCGAACAATTTTACTTCTTTGCCAGTATTCCTTATATATCACTCTCTTACACTCTCGACATTGTGACGTACCATCGGTGTCATCTGGTTACTTCTTGAAATTTGCATATGAGTCTTGAAGATGTGTATAGCGATTTTACAGGTGATATATTTATTTTAGAGTTCGATTTCCGCGTGACTCCGAATTATCCTTAATTTATGGACATGAGTGTATATAAATGAATCACATAAACATAATACTTTATTTACCGACTTTGAGCTATAGATTTTGTACTATATCTATAGATTATGGATTATAGACTTTGAACTGTGGATTTTGAATATAGACTTTGAACTATGGACTTTGTTGGCACTATAAACTACTCTTCATTACTAATTTTTCTTTTCGTCGCATATTATGTTTAAGCACGAGAAATGCATTTTACATTTTAGCTCTTATTTAATAAGGTTGTTCTAAACCTTTTCAAGACTGTTATTACTTCAAAGGACCAAGCGATTATTCGCTCCAAGTCTGTTAGGGTTTGACATTAGTTTATGCTACCAAAGGATATCAAAGTCTATAACGTTTTGAAAAACTTTTCCAAACACACAGGTTTTAAAAACGATGATCAATAGCGTATGTGAAAGGAAAATAAAGTAATTTCGTTTGCGTTTAGCACCTGTTATTTGCAAGTAAAACTAAAAAACACAAGTGTCTGAAAACAAATGCGAGCCATTTGTTACTTCTGTACACCAAATACACAAAACTACTCATTTACCCGGCCTTTAATTTCGCAAACGTTGGTCGTAGACACATACCTCCAATTACAAGATGTTATAAATGACGCAAAGATTCATGTTCTTGTATTTTTAAATTTAAAGAAATACATTTTGTAAAAGTTACGAAAACTAACATTTTATACGTTCCTTCTGTCCCTCTACTTATATTAGGCAAATTTTGTACTCATTATTAAAAATAAAACACGAAAAGTTTGAATCCCAACTTTATGTACTATAAAAGAAATATGTTATACAAAATTAAACTCCTACGGAGAAAATAATTACTCTTTTCTAAGAAAATATAGTAATGCTTATTTGTCTGTTACATTCATATCTTCTTCGCGTTGCTTCTCATAAACAGCACAGCAATAAAATGTTCATTACGGAAGACCTTTTTTTCCTAAGAATAGTTCAGGTTTTCTTAATAATCTTCACTTATTCAAAGTGCATTCTTTCCTTGATTTTTACATCGTTTTCCGCTTCCTCGTGTGCTAGCTGTTCAGTTTACTTTTCCAAAAACAATAATTTCGCTATCAACTAACTAGGAAGTGATCAGTTTCATTTTACTTGATCCACTCGTCAATATCTTCGTAGCTTTTCGCAGTCTAAGATCCTCTTTGTTAAATATATTAGTTCAGAATTTTCCATTTTCTTTTCCCTAGATACTTTTGGAATTCATTTTCTGAACGTCTTCAAGAATTTAGATGGGAGAAATTAGGACAAAAGAATAAGAGAAAAATTAAATAATAATAAAGAAACAATTAACGCTGTCCTTTCAAGAAATGGGAAAATTAGTTGGAGAAAGAAACTGATTGTTCTAAAAAAAGCATTTCGAAACAGTGGAAATAAAAATACGGAAAACAGGAAGCCTTTGGTGTATTTATTTACTTATCTATTTATATTTAAATTTAGAATGATGAATTTTACGGAATATCGAGAGTAGAGTTTGCAGAACCCTTCTGCATTTTTAATAAAAACAAGGGTATTTAAAAACATTTTTCTACTATATGATATTCTTCAATTAGAATTATTAATTTAGCAAAACAAATCAAGCCGATATTAGAAGCTACTGAATTTCCAATGTCTGGTTTGTTTGCATCAGTTTGAGAAAAATTATACTTTTATAAATCTAAAGAAAAAACTGTTACAATTAGTCAAAACAAAGTAATGTATTAAAGAACGGGAAAAGCCATAGAAGATGACTGGTTGATTGATTAAGGCAAAGTAGGAATAGGCTGTCTGCGTTAAGAGAATGAATGCTTTCGTGGAAGACTTTGTTACTGTACTAAAGGAAAATGACCTGAATTTGTATAGCGAAAAACATGAAAACGTCTATGAAACTAGGCAGTTTGCTGAGATTTGAATCCAATTAGAGATGGAAAACAGAAGAATATTAAGAACAATACATTTCAAATTGACGTTAAAACTAAATATAAGCTGCGTAGGCTGCAATCTTCAAAAGCTTTCCTTTAGCGAAGGTCTAAATTTAAAGGCGTCTTCTGTAAGAAAAGCTCTGAAGTGCTTTGTCAGAATAAAACCAGCAAGTCATATAAAAAGAACTGCTTCTAAAGACCTCATATGACTGCTTTATTGTTGCTTATGCTCCATATTGGGCAAGAAGTTGGTTTTGAAATAATAACTATAAACCAACTTGTATTTTTTACATACCTAAAAGTGGATGTCTCGATTTTTGTCGACAACAGTTCCGCAATATTTCGGTGTTTATATTTTTGAAATTATGCCCTTGAAACACTATACAAGGAAACTTCTTCAAGAATATTTCTTCCTGCTGATTTTTTTTCGTATATTAATTCTTAAAACATAAATAAATAAATAAAAATCTATTCTATGCTCTCTTCGTAAACTAGCTATTCGTAGGAAATTCGTATTTTTAATGAAATATACGAAAGTAGAATATAAATGTTGTCTTACCTATGCATGTTTTTTGATCAGCAGCTAAGCGGTAACCGTCTTCGCACGAGCAATAGAAACTTCCGGCATAATTTATGCACTTTTGCTCACAACCGCCATTATCCACTTCACATTCGTCCACATCTTTTAGAAAACAAAAAGAATGAAAAATTAATTATTTAACTGAATTGGCATTTTAAGGCTTTTCCGAGAATTTCGAAATGCTGAATGTGTAACTGGATTTTTATACTAAATTGATTTAAAAATTCTTCATTTGTTTATTATTTCTAGATTTTACATTGAAGAATATCACTTTTGCTCTTATTTACACTATTCTAAACATTTAGATAAATCTTTAGCATTATTTATATATGCCTGTTTATTTTTGATTAATCTATTCATTGACATTTTTGTTATTCTCTCTGTATAGAATGTAAGTGTAAATTTACTCCTTGTATAAATTTGAATTAAAAAAATTGATTAAAAATTATGCAAATAGAAAAATTAGATAAAGGAAATGTGGAAAATATGGGAAGAAAAATGGACTACATGACTACGTAAGGGGAATGAAGAATTTGCGTGTGACTCACTCGCATGGATCCATCTCTGATATTTAGAATCATTGTACATCATTAAATGTCTGTATGGTGCACTTTAATAAATTTTGCAAACTGAGACATAATCAGGTCAATGACACAGAAAACATCATAAAACTTATTAAAATAGTTCCTTTATTTATTAATAATTAAAATATTTACTAATAATGCGAGGAATAAATATTATTACTAGGATTATGATTTACCATCACATGAAAAACGATCTTTTTGTGATGAAGTATAGCCGGTTCCACAACTGCAGCTAAAACTTCCGGGACTATTATGGCACGTTCCTTCGCATCCACCATTTTTAATGCTACATTCATCTATATCTAGAATAAAAAAATTCTTCTTTGATAATCAAAATTTATATTACATAACTATTTACAATATATCCAATAAAAGCACATAGTTTTCTGAAGGAAATTTCTGTGAAAATTAGCCTAGGAAATACGTTTTTTCATTAAATGAAAAGCAGTCATCCTCATTAGAAATATAACACACATAAATAATAATTTTCACATTATGGAATAGTAAAACCTCTTAAACCGGCAACCAGTTAACCGGTAATATCAAATTAACGGCACCTTTGAAGGTCTTAAATTGAAATCCGAAATTTAGGCCTAAGATAAAAAGTATGTAACGGGTTAACATCTGAAGATTTACACGCGGAAAACATTTGTATTATGTTTCTGTCGCCTTATTCAACAAATGAATTATTTACCCGAGAATATAAAAATAGAACTACCGATTCCCTTTTATGCGTCGATGTGTGAATTTTGAAGGCAACGTACATGCCTTTCAGAAACAATTCAACCTGATAGACGTCATATTTATTTTAGCTCTTGCTTGGAAAGATGTAAAGAACGTTACTTTACGTTGGTGTAAATTGTGGTCTATGATATTGTTCGTTGATGACGAGTCGAGTAACGATGATTCTCTTGGCTGTAAAACACATTTGCGCTAGATTCCGACATTTTGATTTTAATTACATTTTCAGAGGAGATTAAATTTAATGAAGAGAAGGTGCAAGCTTGTATGAATGTACATAATTCTGTTCCCATCACACTCTCTTAAGGTGATGGCAAAATAATTTAACATGTATAATAAGAAAAGAGAAAAAGGCTGACTTTGAGGAAGGGGAGGATGACGACACGCAGAATACGAGAGTTATGTAGTAAGAAGCTGAGGAATGATTGCAGATTTTTATAAGATTAAGCAGTGTTCATTCATATCGGCACGTGATGTTATGAAGATTCATTATATTATTTAGCGAATTTTTTGACATCGAGCAAATTACTTAGCGAATTTTAAATAAACTTTAATAAAAAATTTTAAAATTTTAACTAAACTACCTGATTTTCGATATTTATTTATTTAATAGTGGCCGATAGGTCGAAAAATAATGACGAATGGATTTCACATGCTGCAATGAACATGTATACAAAACATCAACATGTTAAATTAGAGAAATAAATCTTCAATTATCCCGGAAAAATCTTATAAATTTTGTAATTTATCTTATAAATATTTGGCTTCAGTGAAGTTCCTTTGTTGCGGGTTTAGAAAGATTCTGCTGTATAATGCACAAATAAATATCGTAACGGATTTTGTATTTATTTTGCTATTTCTAGTAGAATTGTAATTGAAATTGTTTAATTTCCCCGTGCAATGCAGCGCGTGAGGAGTTTTAAAAGAAAGCTACGCCGTTAAAGTAAAAATACAGGAGCACGAGCATATAATATTTAATAAACAGATATCTCGTAATTTATATTCAGATTGAATAAATGCAATTGTGTGTTAGCTGTAACTGTAATTCTACTCTTTTGCTTTTCAGAAACCTAGAGAAAATAAAAATTAGCAAAATGTTCTCGTGCATGATTAAAAAGCTTTAAAAAAGTCGGAGAAATAATCTCAATTTAGTTGCTTACTTATTTGTGACCCACCAGCGGCCGAGCGGTAAAGTCGCTGAACACTGCTAGTTCGGTCCGAGGTTCGAATCCCGCGAACGGGCTGGCTGCATGGGTGTTTTCGTGGTTTTCCCCATGTGTAACGTGTATACGAGCCGGTTTCCCTTAGAAAGTCCTCAAGGAAGGCATCCCTCCCCTTAGGCAGATGGCCCTAGTGTGCTTTGCCATAATTAAATACACCTATACACCACTTACTTATTTGCTGTTGCTGACCTGACTGTAGCGAATTCGCGGTGAGATCGGATTAGCTTTCTCTGCGTTTTAATTGTGTTCTATTTAACGGTTTATTAGTTTAAAATATAACTACTATGTGATATTGTGATACTGTACGAATATCTGTGAGGAAAAATTTCAGCATTTTATTTTATTTCTTGTGATAAGAATAAATTTTGTTAACTTTTTATCGGAGTTGTGCATTCCATCTATCACGAACCCGTACTCAATAATATGTTCCTTAAAGTACTAAGTATGTCCTAAGAATATATATAACTGTAGGACGGCATCGTCCACAACAATAAGATGGTTCTGCAAGCTCTGTGAAAGAACTTTTTTTTTTTTTTTTTCTGCTGATAGAATTCAGATGATCCCGCCATTAAGATGATGACTCCATTAAGATGTAAGACTGTGTTCTGCGAACAAGACGTTAGTTTTTCTATATCTGTAAATAATCTCATCTATTTATATCTACGAATGTAATCATTTCATACTGCGAAGTAACTATTCATGTTTTCATTAAATGTTAAAATTATCTATAAATCGGACTAGTTTATTAGCCCCTAGACAGCCATATCTGAAGTAAATTCACAGTAATTAAGATAGTAAGTACCGATCCCATAGATTATGGGCGCTCAGACCGCGATGAGCCTAGAAAGAATCGCGATGGAAATTACAAGAGAAAACGATTAAGTTTGTTTCGATTATGTTCATAGTGTTACTTCTAAGAATAGTATTCTACTGTATTGTTAATCAAGATGACTTCTCTAAATTCCATTCCTAGAATTTATAATTCTTTAGGAACTGGTCCTACAAAGTCTATTAAACTTTTACATCAAATTATATTTGGAACTTTAGGGGATAGGAAAAACAGAGCGAGATAGCGTAACTTTTGTGGTTTTCCTTCTAATTTTCTGATGATCGGCGTACGAAGAATTTCTATGAGAGCAGACACTCATAAACCTAAAAAAGCAAGACTGCTAACAAAACGCTTACCTTTCCGAGCAATCCTTCTTTTTTTCCGATGTTTCTCACCCATGTGCACAGCGATCTGTTTTCGCTTAAAAAAACACCCCAGAATTGCAGAAGTTTGTCATCCGTATAAACTGTACATTGTGTAACGGTCAAAACAGATATGCATTACGCGCATACCTAAGCTGCCACCTAAATACATTTTAGTGGATCGCTGCACACTATTTTGGCTACATATAGCTTTGTCTCATGAATACATTTTGCGACTTTTCGGCGAAAGTGCGGATAGTCAGAAAGTACTGCTGAATTTCTTATAAAGTAAAAATTAACTAACAAATTTTATTTTGACGTGCAGCTCCTCACAAAACTTCAGATTTAAATTTTATTTCTCAAGACAGTACAAAATATGTTTCTTAATAATTCAGATAAGAAAAATTGTGGGATCACTGCTTATCACACTTATTTTTGAATTTTTTAAAGATAAATTATCTGATCATCTGCCCGACAAATGTTTGTATCTGCTTTTAGCATTACATTTATTTTGAAAAACAATAATTACACATTCATATAAGCTGAAAGATTTACAAAAATTTTTCCTATGAAAATTCGATTTGAACAGTTATATTGTCTAAATAACTTTTAATAATTTCATATTAATTATCTAAGTAAAAGAAAATTAGAAGGCGTAAAACGTATTTTATTAACATTCCTATTTTTATATTAAATTATTAGCTGAGTTATTTATTGAGTATGAAAAAATAATGATACATGGCATCACGTCTTATATAACGATATATTCAGGGAATAAGTGAGCATAAACAGAAAATAAATCCGCGTAGATTAAAAATATTTCTTAATGAATAATTTGATTAAATAAAAATACAAAATCTGAGAAAGGACTAAAAGTAATCAATATTAATATAGTATAAAGATAATTCTCATTTACCAATACATGTCTTGTTATCTTGTTGAAGTTCATATCCCAAAGGACAGAGGCATTGCGCACTTCCTGGCATATTCATACAAGTATGCGAACAACCAAAATTCTCTGATTCACATTCGTTGATATCTAAAAGCAAGCAAGATACGATTCTTTCAACAATAAATCGGTAATTAGGCAACAGAAAAACCTAGAAGTTTTGAGCATACATGTTCTTTTACAAATGGAAAATAATTTATTCTCAGGTGAGCAGTGGTGTAGATTGTTCCAATCAATTTATTTGACATTTGATTTGAAACTTCTATTAATTAATATAATTTAAAATATTAAACGTAATTTAAAAGAGTTTTAAAATAAGATTTTATTTACTCAAAAAATAATCAGTGAACTAAAAGCAGAAAAATAACTTATCAGATAGTTTTATAGAAGCAAGTGGTATCATCTTGATAAAGCAGTAGACAGCTATAGCACAAGTATTTTCAAAGACAATGTCATTCCTTACTTTAGAAACATTTTAAAACGCAACGACAACAAATCACACTGTTCAAATTTTGAGTAGAACGAAACACTCAAAATGGCACTTACAGACAAAGAAAAGCTAGAAAGTGCTTTCTATAGATAATTTGCTATTTTCATTTTTACGGGAGAGAATTTTGCAAGGGATTCAAACAACAACATCTTTCTCATAATTTTCTACTTATATTGTTGTTAATTCTTCTTCTTACAGGTACTGTAAGTTTTCGCTTGTTTAATCTATTTAATGCTGTGTTTGTCAGTTTTGTTTCATATGTATTCATTTGGTTTTAGGCTATACACTTGAGTATAAATTTAAAGTATATAAATTTTAAATTAATAGTCATCCAACTAATTAATACGTTTTATATTAATTCCTAAGGGAAAAATTGTTTCGGCTTACGAGCATTTTGTTTGACGAACAATCGATTTTTTTCAGCTTTCTTTTAACCAATCTATTCTTTTTCCTGAGAATTTTTATCTTAATTAGTGAAAGATATACAGATTAGAGAAGTCGTTCTTCATAGAACTCTAAAAACTGCTTTTAATGTGTAAGTATCAGAATGAACATCTACAATCTTAAGAATATCTAAAAATCCTTTAAACTTCTATTAAATTCTAAGACTGCCACTATATTCCTAAATACAGGATTAATTCTTCAACAGAAATACTTTCAAAATGAATTTCCATTGAATACCTTTAACCTCTTGTTTCCATTCTCGCAATAAATTTTGACAACGGGAATTTCATTAACGTATGTTTATGTACTTGATCTTGTTTTGGTCGTATTACAGCTTTTCGTTTCAGATGCTTCAGCTTGTTGAAATTTGCATTAGCTGTCGAGGCTGAGGCTGACAGGGCACTGATTAGTGAAAATTTCTGCAATTTTTGAACCTAATACATTTTGAAAATTTATTGACAATTGCTCCGAATTGAAAATATAGTAATTTTGCAGCTAATCAATACAGACTAATTAATTTTCTTCGACTTTTTTCAGACTTAGAATCCAAACGCTTCTGAAGGGCCTCAATGTATTCATATCTGATTAAACGTATTTTTTAAAATAACTATTATTATCTCAAAAGCTTATTGAAAATTAATTAAAAAGACAGATCTCCAGCCTTTTCAAAGGCCAGTTTCCGAGATTTAAACGCTGTTTCCACTTATTACTATTTCATAAGATCGTCAGTATCTTCTCTTATAACTAAGGCAGAGAAGAAAACAAACTTATTTTGAAAAGGAAAAATATGGTCTATCAAATAATGAATGAAAACAAATTACAGGTCATTTTCATGTGTACGGATTATAAACAAAATTAAGCTTTTTGTTAGAAAGTTATGAAAAACAATTAGTTCTTTCTTTCTTCTTTCTTTCTTTTTTTTTTTTTTTTTTTTTTTTTTTTTTTTTGTATAAAATGTACTGTTTACTTTTGAAACAACAGACTAAACTAAACTACAAAGACAGAATTTTTAGACATTTCCTTTTTCATTTGTTTTATAGTTATTTATGTTGACATTAGAGGTTTTGCGACATTTGTGATTTTTCGGTAAAATTGTAAGGTATTTCTCCCGCTTTCTTGGCAAGCTTTCGTGGTGTGGTGGTCTGTACGCTGGGCGCGTATTCCAGAGGTGGGCGGTTCGATTCCCGGCGAAGGCGGTTGCTTATTCTTCATCTTGCCTGCTTCCAAAAAATACCTAATATCTCTACAGGTAATAAAAGGGTTGTGGATGATGATTCTCTCACGCAGGATTTGGCGATTGAGTCCCCTAAAAACGCCAGTCGCCCTTTAAAAGGAGGGAGTATATAAGTTATTTATCTCGCCTTCTTGGCATGCCTTCGTGGTGTGGTGGTCTGCACGCTGGGAGCGTATTTCAGAGATCCGTGGTTCGATTCACAGTGAAGGCGTTGTATATTTTCCGTCTTGCCTGCTTACAAAAAAATCCTAATGTCTCTACAAAATCACTGCATATTTTAAATCGTTTCCCATAACAAAATTATTGAAAGAGAAAGAGGTATTAGTCATTACTAAAAAAAGGTGAATAATTTGATTGATAACAGTTTTATATCACAAACCATAAACAGATTGGCGCTTAAATAATGAAATCTATTAATTGCATGATCAAAGTACAATCAAATATTTTTACATATTTATCAACGGCACCTCGCTCTTTTGTTAGACATATAAAACTGTAAATGAATTCTTTAAGGATATTTTTTAATCTATTTCTCCCATTATGATAATATTTTTCTCCTTTTGCTTATTGATTATTTTATAAGTTTTAAATAAAAACCTTCTTAAACTTTTTTTAAAAATATTTTTTATTCTTTTCGGAAAATGAATAACTAAAATAGAGTCAGAACTACGAAGAAGGTGCGCATTTTCCCTGAAGTTTTTGGACTCTATATCTTAAACACAGTTTTTAAAACTAGATTAATGATAAAGATCTCTCGTGATTTGGACTTGGCGCTATCCCATAAACACACCTTTGTATCTAGAACAGGGGATTCATTAGAAACCAAATATCAGTCCAAGAGATTTCAGCATCAGCCAATAATCACTGAATATTTTTCTCTATGTGAAAATATTGCAAAAATTTTTTTACAAGAACTGTTAAATGCTATAAATAAATTAGAATGTAAAGTCTTAAGTTAATCCCTCAAAATGAGTCAGAATATTTTTAACCCAAAAATATTATTTCAGACAAGATGGACAACACTTTCCAAGTAAAATATGACAGTCTAAGTAAAAGATGCTGTTTAAAAGTCATTTTGATAAATACCCTTGGCATGAATTTGCGGAAATAACAAGGTTCTATTGAGGTATACTATAAAAGCTTGGCAAGGAGGAATGGAGTTAGATATTCGCCTTAGTTGAGAAATTAGGATAAGAATTAAACTATTTTCTAAACATTAAAGCAAACCTCTTTGTTGTTTTTATGCAAATAGTTATGCTATGAACGATGATTAAATACGGATATGTTATAATTCATGATTTAATACAAAATTTGTGGATGCACTGCAAATGCACTGTATCATACCTTCACATGGGATATTATGAGCAGGGTCTCCTGTAAATCCAGAATAGCAGAGACAGTCAGCAATGGATGTTTTGCCTTCCGATTTCGTGTATGAATTAACTGGACATTCCAAGCATACGTCTTCATTCTCCGATTTGTATGAATTAATTCTACAACCTACGACAGTGAATGAATTAATGAAATTTTCTGCAGTTCCTTTAATATGACAAATTTTATGCTCATTTTATGCACCCATATACGCGGCGCATGTAAATGTGTAACAAAAAAAAATAAGTGAAAACAAATATTTCAAAAAGCTTTCTAAACTCTTATAAACGTAAAATAAAAATAAGATTAAGACTAAGTGGATTTATTAAAATAATAATAATTGTGATATATCCGTTGTGAGGTGGGTTCTGGATATACTTAATGTAGAACTAGGGTATGTGAGCATTTACATAATCATACAGAGTCTATATAGGCCGAACACTTTATTATAATACGAACGAAATAAACAGATATATAATTTACACAAAGTTTTATCGTAACATTTTGCTGGCGTACAGCGGAATGTATCTTATTGAGAAATTCTCATCTTATTCTATAATCTCGACTCAGAGTCATGGAAAGAGAGACGAAAACGCGCTCCGTTCGGCTAAAGTGCGCATGCGTGGTGTACAGCAGATCATGGCAATAACCATTTAAAAATAAGTCGATAAACTTAAAACAATAAAAATATCAGATTAAATAACTGAATTGATTTCTGGATTACTTGTAATTTCATCTATTTTTAGATCTATATCTTTTAGCCATATTTTTCTTTAAACCCAAGATGATGTTAAACATATTCAGTTTTGTTTTATATTTTTTTCGCTTTACTGAATCCCATTTGATACAATTGTTATGTAATATTGCTTTATGGTTTAATCTTCTGTAATCTTCTACAAACAGCATTATTATATGGCTTATTTTATGTAACTGGTGGTTAAATTTTGGTATTAAAGTTTTGCGCCCATGATACGACATGAACAAAAAACAAAACAAAACAAAACAAAAACAAAAAAAAACAAAAAAAAAAAAAGATTGAAACCAAATCACCTAGCAAACATTTTTTTAAAATTCTCTTATTTATGTATTTAAGGCTTCTGCTGCATAGTCTTATAAAATTTTTCTATGGGCAGAGCAAATAAGATGATGAGTACTAAAATTAAAAATGTCGCTTTAAAATACTGTATTTTGATAAAAATTCGTCTTTTAATTAACCCTAAAAATGAAATGTGTTGCCAGTTTCATTGCAAATTATTGCTAAACCTGAAAGACTGATAAATCATAGCTCTGGTTATGCTTGCTATATTACAAAATTTATAGATAACTTACTCACAAATTAACAAGCTATAGTAACATAAGCTAATTACACATATACTATAGCAATTATGTCGAAATTAGAAATTGTACTAAATACGTAAAAAATTTACAAAAATCTGCAATAAAATTATTGTTAACCCAAAACAAATAATCTATATCTGTATCCATATATAAAAAGAATGTCTGTGTGTTTGTTGGCGATTTATTCAGTCTCTACTATAGCTATCGTCACCAAACTTTCTACAATTCTTTTCTGGATCCTGGAAAAGGTCGACGTTCACTTTTTTCAAAAAAAAAAAAAAAAAAAAAAAAAAAAAGTCTAAAATCAAAAATATTAATTATAAATTCTGAAAACGCTAATTTTCTCCTTCATTTTCCCGAGCGGCAACAGTCTCTCGCATGCTGGAGATAAAAAATCTGCTTTATTTCGAGAAGTGTTGCCACTGCTCGCTTTCAAATCGCAGAGTTTGTTAATAAAAAATTTCTAAGTTTTACAATGAAATAAAAATAGCATGGCCAAACATTAAATACATTATTCCCGATACCAAAAAATCGTGGGAAGCCATTTCGAATGTTCCCATCTTCGTACGACTTCTAAAAAAGAAAAAACTCTGAAAACACTAATTTTCGCTCTCATTTTTTCGAGTGGCAACAGTTTCGCGTGTTAGAAATAAAAATTCTTTATTTCGAAAAGTGTTGATATCAAGGAGGTTAGAATAGCTATTCTAACCTCCTTGGTTGATACTGGTCGCTTTCAAATCGTAGAGTTTGTTAATCAAAAATTTGTAAATTTTACAAAATCTATCTATATAAAAATTATTGCCTGATTGTGTGTTTTTTTCATGTTATTGATTTCTGATCAATTTTGATCAATTGTTTGCCACATTTAATCGACTAAAACTGAATGTAGGTGAAATATTGGATGGAAATTGAGCTCTTATAGCCATTTGATTAGAAAGACGAAAATCATTACAAAATGTGCGCCATTGTTGCTGATATAATGAGAGAGAATTAATTAATTCTTCAACCGAACTTTTTTGTGTGGGTTCCATATCGCATCAGACGGAAAAATGTATGACTATGAATCGTTTATTAGAGAAGGATAACAGCAGTATCGTTCTCGCTGTTGTTAGATATATTACTCTCAATCTAATTTAACTGGCGTCGGGTACTTCAGTTAGTATATAATAAAACGAAATATGCACAATAATGTGAATTAGTTAAAAAACAAATGTGACTAATTTAAAAAACAAATGTAAATGTTTCTATAAAATAGAAATAAATAAAAATAAATGTAAACAAATTGTAAATCAATATTTATATAAATTTGTAACACTATTTTAAATCATAGTAGAATTCAATAACAAGAAATATTCATCATTGCAAAATAATTTTGGATTCTTTCAGCGCACAAGTTTTTCATCATCTCAACATTAATAATCTGAGAACCTTAACTACAGTTTCTTCTATTTTGAATACATTTATATTTTTAAAAATGCTCCAATTGTAAGCATAGGAAATATTTAGTATTCTTTTAGTGCAAACTATATCACATAATTTAAACTAGAATTTTCAAATCTGAAGATTTTAATAGGTTCTATAAAATAATACCGAATGTTTTCCATCAAACATATCGCGAATAATGTTTTAATAGCAAATTTCCAGATAACTTAAAAAAGTTTCAGATAGTATCAATATACTTTATTTGATTCTCATTTAAACTTATGTATTAAAGTAAGTGATTAACAATAAATTCGAATTAAAAATACCTTCACATTTCAGATCATCAATTAATAAATAACCTGGAGGACATGAACACGTATATTTTCCCAAATTGTTGTGACACTGGTGACTGCATTTATGTTTTCCTTCAGCACACTCGTCTATGTCTAGAAAATAAGGAGCATAATTAAAATGAAAGCACTGTTACTGTTATTTATGCACATATGCTGATTATCAGTAAAGTATTTAAAAATATATAAATTACATTACAATATACAGTGGATGGACAAAAATATGGAAACACCTTGTGAAATGCATGTTTGAAAAGAAAGATTGATTTTAATGAAATATGTAGGTGGCGCTGGCGTTTTTGACTACTGACGCCACCTATACAACTTCGTAAATGTGCTAAACAGTTCAGTTGTTTGTCGGAGTACTGTTATGTGAAGTTGTCATTGCATTATGTCACAGTTAACAGACTTCGAACGTGGGCAAATTGTTGGAGCACGTATGGTAGGTGCTTCCGTAAGCAAGGTAGCCGAGGTGTTTAGTGTTTCAAGAGGTACTGTATCGAAGATTTATTCTGCATATTTGAAACGCGGAAAAACATCATGTGCTACATCACAGCGCGGACGAAAGTGTGTCCTGAGTGATCTTGACAGACGATCATTAAGGGCAATTGTGACGAAAAATAAGAAGACCACAGCTGCAAAAGTTACTGCTGAAATGAATGTTGTGTTACCGAACCCCTGTGAGTACCAAAAAAACTAGAAGGAGCTTCATAAACAGGGAATTGCTGGCCGTGCTGCGATTGAGAAGCCACTCATCAGTGATGCTAATGCCCGTAACAGGAAAAGGTGATGTTTAAGTTATAAAGCCTGGACTATAGAGCAGTGGAAGCAAGTAATATGGTCTGACGAGTCTTCTTTCACATTGTTTCCCACTTCTGGCCGAGTTTACGTCTGGAGAACGCCATCTCAAGCCTATAATACAGACTGCTTGTTGCCAAGAGTGAAACATGGCGGGGATTCTGTTATGGTTTGGGCAGCCATATCGTGGTTCTCTGCTAGCCCCATGATAACTGTGTCAGGGCACATGACTGCCAAGACTTATGTGAACATTTTGGCCGATCAAATTCATCCCATGGTACAAACTTTGTTCCCCGATGGTGATGGTGTCTTTCAAGACGACAAAGCCCCTGTTCACACAGCTCACATTGTCCAGGACTGGTTTTCTGAGCACGAGGATGAGTTGTCCCATCTCCCCTGGCCACCACAGTCACCAGACCTGAATATTATCGAACCTTTGTGGTCTACATTGGAACGGAAAGTGCGTTCTCGTTATCCACTGCCAACATCGTTATCTGAACTTGCCACCGTTTTACAGGAAGAATGGTATAATATTCCCTTGGCAAACATACAGGAACTGTATTTATCCCTTCCGAGAAGACTGCAAGCTGTTTTGGATGCCAACGGGTTTCCTACACCATATTAATCAAAGAAACATGTTTTTTTAAAGGTGTTTCCATATTTTTGTCCAACCCCTGTATATGTAAACTATTTTTTTTTATTGTCCCTACACTATACTCTTTTTTTTATTTATTTATCTTTACATTCACAGAAATAATAACATTCTGTTAAATATCCAATTGATATAATGCATTTTTGCAAGGAATATGTGAAAGACTAGTCTAATTAGCATTATCTAACCACAAGTGATCAAAGAGTTTCTGATATGCAAATCAAGGCGTTTCGGCATCTGACAGTGAGTCAAGCGCTTTGCGCAAATTGAATATCTGAGTGAATGGGCTGCAATAAGTAAGTTGTTTGATTCAGTATGTATAAGAACTCAAAACAGACTGTTATAGCTCCGAAGTGTCATTTGGAAGAATTTGTGAACTTTCGACTCCATTTAGAAGAAAGACAGACAATCATGCAAGCAAAGGGATGAGTGAATATTTCAAAACAGACAGTCGTTAAGTTATGAAAACAATTTCAGAACTCTGGAAATAATGTAAGGAGGCTTGGATTAGGTCTTAAACGAATAACAACTGCTTCTCAAGATCGATATTTAGCATTAACTTCTCGCCGTAACTGGAAGTCCGTTGCTCGGCAGGTAAGTTCAAAACTTGCCGCCGCCACATGAAATGATGTGCTGCTGTAAACTGTATGCAGAAGGCTTAATGAAAAAGGTCTTTATAGCAGAAAACGGAGTTTATTCGTTTGAATGTTTTTCACTGTCTGTACAATAAAAGAGAAATCGCTTTAACTGGTGCCAAATGGTCATAATCACCAAAGTGATCAAAGTACAATCAGAACTGATTAGAGTGAACGCTAATAGAGGAATAATGATCGAAGGATATATGCTAGTACACATTTTGAATAGCGAGAAAAATATTGCGAAGATAATCCTCCTCTTATCCCTGAAGACCGCACTGCTGAAGGAGTGGAACTTAATTCCCCAGTCTGTGATTAATAATACTATTGCCAGCATGAAAAATACGTTAGGACATGGGTATAGAAGTAAGGGAAGATCATATTTCTTATTAAATTCATAAATCTTAATTTTTTTTAGTTATTCTAGTATTATCATTTTTATTGTTTCATGATCCAGTTTTATATCATATGCAATGTTCTTCTTTTTAGTCCAAAGGGGCAATTTGCCCAGAAGGACTATTAATTTCGTTTCGGCATTTTGCGTCAATTCACTACAAGCGTTGTTTCACTTTTCAAATTGTTGACACCAAATATTATCGCCTTGTATTATATTTAAAGAAATTAAATAATGGAGAAGCTGCATAAATGTATGTATGTTTCTCGCATTGTGATAAAACTACGGAGCCATCTAGGTTGGAATAACGTAATCCTCCTGCTAATATGGGCATGTGGAAGACCAAATTTGAAATTTGTTTTATTATCGATTTCATACTTTAACTAATTTTTGATTAACAAACTTAAGGATTTCAAAGCAATCCATGGCAACGCTGTGCAGAAAAAACATTTTTATCTCCAGCGCGTGAGACTGTGTATCGAAAATTCTAAAGATATGCCCAATTTTAAAATTATTTTGCGATATTGCTCTTGAACTGAATTTTATGGTTTAAGTGTGAAGGACAGGATATTTAATACGTAAAGGTAGCACACAAAATGTTAAAAAAGCTCGTTTGAACGTAATTTAAAAGATTCAGATTTCAGATTTTAAAAATTTTTATTTATTTTATTTTATATTTTTTCTTATTTCCAATGTTATGTATTTATAATATTATGTATGTGCTATAATGCTATGTATTATTCCCAAAATTCCACAAAGTTATAGTTCACAGTTTCTGATAAATACGTGATTTCATACATATAAAGATAATTTTGGACATGAGTGTAATATACTGCATTAAAATTGTAACCTGTTGTGAAGAATTATAATTAGAATACATTACGTTTTCTTTCCAGTTTACTAAAACAGGAAAAATTTCACTACTGAAGTTATTTAAAAAATACAAATATAAAAAAAGACATTTTGCCATACTCAGGACTTTAATATATTTTTAAAATTTGAATTTAATTTTAATAAAATCAAGTTTCTATCAATAGCAACTAATTATTTGCTATTTTTGGAATATGGTGTGTTTCCATACAACATATTTTAAATTTTATGAATTAAGAGATTTACATCGTAAATAAATAGTGCATCTACAAAGTTTTAGGACTAAATGTTTTTAACAAGTTCCAGAAAACCTGCCAAATGATAATCAACAACATTTATTACTGCGACATCTCAATATACTTTTCTCATAATATCGTCTGCTTTCTGGACAGTATTTTCAATGCAGTTAATTAATTCTACGATCTAATTAATATTCGATGTCACAGATACGAGATCTTAAGAACAATAATAAAGTACTGCTTTTAAAAGCCGAAAAATTGAGAAGTGTTTCAAATAAATTGTAACTGGAGATGAAATCTGGTGTTATGCTTATAACAGTCGTCTGCATTTATTAGAGATAAATGGTGAACTTCACATTTTAAAAATATGAAATAAACAGTCTTCTGAAATGAATGCAGCACATTAAGGCTCAAACGTTCGACCAAATAATTAGTTTCTGTTACATCATATTGCGCATTCACTCGCTTTCACTGTCCACGAGCAATTTTTAGCAAAGAAAAATTTCTCAGTTTTGCACCAAACCCCTTAATCTCCAGATTTTTGCCTGCAGATTACGTTATCTTATCTAAAATGAAGTTTCTTCTCAAGAAGCGTAACTTTAACAACATTGCAGAGAATAAGTAAACAGCAATCTAAGAATAGTAAACAGATCTCGTATAAGACTTAAAAGGTGTTTCAAAATATGAGTTCTAAAAAAAACTCAAGCATCTATACAAAGGTGCCAATCGTTCTGCAGACTTAAAAAGATTATATATCAAAATGTAGAGGTAAGAATATTGCTTCTTTCCTGAAATTCAAGTTAAATGAGCCTTTATTTTCAGCTACTGGATGGATTTTCCCTGCTCATTCATTGTAGAAGCTAATGTCAACTATCGCAGTCACAGACGCTTAATCAGTAATGATCATCAACTAATCACTTTTCTTTAGAGTTCAACCTCATCATATCACTGTAAATCTAGACAGAATTACATCGCTCAGCCATTAAATTTTATCAGATGAAAATCTCTTTGAGGAACACATATTCGATGAAATATCAACCAGTTATTGAAATATCCCTTTCCGAAATAAGCTCCAATTTTGAAATGTCCTTACACTAAAATAGCAGCTTATTACATGACTTATGCTGAACTTTTTTTTCATAAAAGAATAGAGGTTAGTCACATAAGTGATTTTCTTTACAACAGTTTTGTTGCTCTTCAAGCTAATAAAGAGTTATTCCTAGATTAGTCAACTTTAATCGCTAATATATTCCACCAACTGAATTTTGAAATTTTAAATAATGCACAACACTAATTTAAAATTAGGTTTCGAAAAGTAACTTTAGACTATTCATATAGACTTTGAACAAATCTATATACTCCAAAGGAAACAACAAGTGTCCTCATTTTTACGAGCAAAATGTTTTTGTAAAAGTGGAAAAAGCGACAGATACATGTGGAAAAAATTACGCGATTCAAAGTGAAAACGCCCTCGAATTTACACTCAAAATCTTAGACACTCTAAAAAT